TCAGCAAAAGACCCCGTAATAGAAGGACTCATTGCGAGTGTTAAGAGTCTCACTGAGGCTGTCACCAGAATGCAAATGGGTCATAGAAACAGGAGCAGGTCACCACAACGACCACGATCCAAGTCACAAAACAGGTCACAAATGTCCAGACAATCTGGGCAGTTTTGTTGGTACCACTGGAAGTTTGGTGTCAACTCAACCAAGTGCATGCCACCATGCACCTGGCCTAAGCATAATTCTAAGACAGCGGGAAACGAGTAACCCCTCCCCAGGTCGCGACGACTGAGGAGGGGCGCCTAAACAGTCGCTTGTTTTATGCTAGAGACAGAAACTCGGGCTTGAATTTCTTGGTGGATACTGGCGCTGCTCTTAGCATCATCCCTCGAAATAAAACTGAGATTAGTCGAGAAACATCATCAATTACACTTCAAGCTGCAAATAAAACTAAAATTGCAACATTTAGGCAGAAAACTTTAACCCTAGATTTGGGATTCAGGAGGCAATTCCCTTGGGTTTTCACGGTAGCCGACCTAGATCTGGCAATACTGGGGATGGACTTTCTAGAGAGATACGAATTTCTAGTTGACACCAAGAAACGGCGATTAACACTAAAAGAAACTTCGTATTACACAAAAGGCAAAGAAAGTCACATCAACTCTCTTAACTTGATTCAAACTCCCCCAGTAACAACAGCGAAATTCCAAGATATACTCGCGGAATTCCCAAACTTAACTAAACCAAACCCACAGCCTTCTAAAGACAAACTAAAAGTAAGTCACACTATCAAAACCGAAGGTGCACCGGTGTTTGCAAAACCCAGGAGACTAGCACCAGATAAGCTCAAAATCGCTAGGGCCGAGTTTGATTATATGCTACAACTGGGTATCATCCGTCCCTCTGATAGTCAATGGGCATCCCCTTTGCATATGGTCCCAAAGAAGAATGAAGGTGACTGGCGACCGTGCGGGGATTACAGAGCCCTAAACCGTCAAACCGTACCTGATAGGTACCCAATACCTCATATCCAAGATTTCACCAACGGTTTACAGGGTATGAACATATTCACTAAAATTGACTTAGTCAGGGCATATCACAATATCCCGGTGGCTGATGAAGATATTCCCAAGACAGCTATTACTACACCCTTTGGCTTATTCGAGTTTGTACGCATGCCATTCGGCCTGAGAAATGCGGCACAGACATTTCAAAGATTCATAGATAACCTACTTCGAGATATGCCATTTGCGCAGGGGTATATAGACGACTTGTTAATTGCCAGCCCCGATTTGCAATCACACGAACAGCATGTACAAGCAGTGTTGAAAAGACTGGATGAACATGGAATAAACATACATCAAAGTAAGTGTGTTTTCGGTGTTCAAACTTTAGAATTTCTCGGTCACACAATAAGCCCAGAAGGGATTAAACCTATAAAAAAAGAAGTGGATACTATCAAACAATACCCCGTACCTAGTTCTCTAACACAACTGAGAAGTTTTCTAGGCCTAATTAACTTCTATCGCAGATTCATACCAGGTTGTGCACAATTAATGCAACCTTTGACAGATTCACTTAAAGGAAAACCAAAATAATTCAAACTGTCTCCTGACGCCATCGAAGCTATTAAACAGCTTAAAGATAAACTGGCTGAAGCAACTACGTTGATATATCCGAATTCTCTTTCCCCACTTGCTTTGATGGTGGATGCTTCAGATAAAGCAGTAGGCGGTACCCTTAACCAACTGGTTAAAAACGCCTGGAAACCAATTGCCTTTTTCTCGAAAAGACTCGCTCCAGCCGAAACAAGGTATTCTACCTTCGGGCGAGAACTTCTTGCAATCTACCTGACCATTAAACACTTCCGATACATGTTAGAAGGTAGGGAATTTATAGTCTTTACGGATCATAAACCACTGACGAATGCATTAAAAGCGAGAGCCGATAAATACTCACCTCGAGAAGTCTGACACCTTGGCTATATATCACAGTTCACAAGCGATATCCGACATGTCAAAGGTCAGGACAATCAGGCGGCAGATGCTTTATCCAGACTAGAAATGAACGTGCTACAGCAGTCTACAGTAAACTTCGAGACGTTAAGACACGAACAAGAGCAGGACCTAGAATTGCAAAACCTACTTAAAACAAACAATTCAAGTCTTAATTTAAAACAATTCCCATCACCTATCGATGGTATCCTAATTTATTGTGACACGACCAAGGCAATGCCGCGACCTTTCGTTCCCAAAAATATGCGAAAGTTGATATATAATAACTTTCATTCTTTGTCTCATCCTGGCGCGAAAGCTTCAACAAAACTAATCAATGCCAGATATATATGGCCGAATTTACAGAAGGATGTACACAAATGGGTTAGAGAGTGTTCAGGATGTCAACAATCAAAGATTAATCGTCACACAAATTCACCCACAGGTGTTTTCTCGCAACCAGATGCACGTTTTGCCCATGTGCATATCGACTTGGTAGGTCCTTTACCTCGTTCAAACGGTTTTAATTATCTCTTTACATGCATAGATCGATTTACCAGATTCCCTATAGCCATCCCGATAGCGGACATCACAGCGGAAACAGTAGCCAAAGTTTTCATGCAGAACTGGATAACCATTTTTGGTACACCCATAACAATAACGACGGATAGAGGAGCGCAATTCGAATCCGAACTATTTAATAACTTGGCTAAACTTCTAGGCTCCAATAGGATACGCTGCACTGCATATCATCCTCAGGCTAATGGGATGGTAGAACGTTTTCACCGTCAGCTAAAAACCGCCCTTATATCTCACTCAAACCCCAATCAGTGGACAGAATTCCTACCATTAGTTATGTTGGGAATACGAACATCTGTCAAAACTGACGCACAGTGTTCAGCTGCGGAACTGGTTTTCGGAACAACTCTGAGACTACCAGGTGAATTTATTAACCCCAATACTAACAGTCAAAAACATAATTTAGGAAACTACGTAGATCAACTACGGGACCATATGTCCAAACTTAAGCCAATTAATACTCGCGAACAATCGCGTGCCGTATATGTACCTAAAGACCTAAGCAATTGCACGCACGTCTGGATAAGATGTGACAAAATAAAAGCACCACTTAGCCCTCCATTTGAAGGTCCTTTCAAAGTCGTCTCAAGAAAATCTAAATATTTCGTGATAGAAAAACATGGAAACATCGACACAGTAAGTATTGATAGGCTAAAGCCGGCTTATCTAGATCATGAACCACCATACGTGTTGTTAGATCGATAAATCTTTACAAATGACTAAAACGGTTCGCTGGGCACATCCGATTAGCCAATCAAGGATGTTGACAGTTTCAGCTGCAGGATAAAATCTAACCACGTAGCTAATCAGACCCTTCATCTACTTAAAAATAACTTTTCTCCTCATTCCGCCTCACCTACAACTCCCCAGACCTTTTGCCTTTGATATATACGTGTTATGTTAAATATTTATTTTTAAATACTGGACACATAAGCTAGGTATTCCGAAACGATGGCTGCGGATTTTAATCAAACTCATACAACTAACACTGGCAAATACAACGAATTCAAAAAGCAACCCAGGCGAGTTTTATAATTTCTTTTTCTGGTTAATTAACTATGTTGGCTGTACTTCTTATATATCTATATACATTTTTCACGTAGACTGGCTATACATATATACCATATGAACTAATTCTAAAAGTTTTCGGTTGAGGATATGTTTAGTAGCTTGATACGCTTAATACTACTATTAATAAGTGGTTTTCTAGACAAAACATTTTGGATTAAACCATGGTCAAATACTTATTAAAGTTCTCATCATTTTTTTTCATGTTTAGGAAACTTACATAATGACTTAACCAGTTTTCCTACAGCATGCTTTCTAGTGTGATCATATAACCCATCATTATTGGCAATGTTCAAATTTTTTTTTTAATTTCTGACATTTAAGAATCAATAACCGTGAAGATATAGTACAGTGCGTTACTGTAAGGTTACTATGTCAGCCGCATTGATTCCACATACCTAATTTTAAACACAACTTATAAGGGAACTGTTAAGTAATCACAACATTGAACTAATATGAATATCACAGCTATGCTAACGTTAAACCAATTATTATTAGTGGTCCATACAAAATCCTGGAACTTAACACTAGCGTTATAAAAAAACATGTTATGTCAATAACTTATATATATATATATTCGTTGGTTTAAATATAACGTAAAATGGAAATTTACTAAACTTGTAGTTTTTTTTCTATAGTAATAATATTCATGTAAACAAAGGACTTATACTTTTCCAATATGGCACTTTGATATATCAATCTGTCCTCTTGTCATTTTTTCTCTCATATGTGCGCGACTTACGGGCAACAAACATCGTATTGAAGGTGGGTCTGGTGAACAAAAACGCAGGCCCCACACGCACTCGAACCTCTGCCCTCCTGAATGCTAGACCGCGTGCTTAGCCGTTAAGCCACATCAGACCACGGAGGAAGTGACTTCAATATTTCCTTACACCAATTAATCACTCATAATACTAATGAGTAATAGGACTTACACACATCTGAGGTGCAAACCAATTCGTTACTTGGATGAATTGACGATATATTGCTTCAATATATCATGCATACCTAAATCAAACAAGAAAAGGGTATTTGACACAACTGTACTTGATCCGCGTACTCTACACAATTTTTTTTGCTTCTTAACCGTATATTCCTTTCCGTTTTGTGGAGTATTCTGATGCACCCTTAGTTACGCTGTAGCACGTTTTCTTAGCGTTTACCTGGAGGCAGGAGCAATCTGAAACACAACACAACAGTCAGGACTGGCAGATGCCACTCAAGTGAGAACACGGCGTGCGAGCACAACAGAGATATATTAGAAATTGAAATACACGGTTTTTGTACAAAAAGAGAAGTCTGTTACAAAATAGTTTTACTCATCATCCAGCAGGTTTAGTTTGCGCAAGCTTTGTTCTTCTTCTTCTAATACGTTCACTTTCTGTTGTCCTGCAATAAGGAAAACAAACCTGCATTAATAAAGTTACACGTAATGACTTTCGATACTGTTACACTATCCCCTCTCTTCATGAGGCACTGTCCTCAGTGCCTGGTGCTGGACATGGGTATGCTACCCCTCCTTCTGGTGGCACTTCATAATGGCTGACGGCAGTCGGGGGGTTGACAAACGGGGTATCTAAGTGCACCGTTGTCTTGTCTGGCTTTAATTGATTGTAGTGTACTGTTATAACATCGTCTTGGGGTCGTTGGAGGTTACGTAAGACGAATGTAGTGGGGGACCGCATAAACACAACTTCGTAAGGTCCTTGCCAAGGGTGATGGAACTTGCTGCATGTCCCCGGTGGAGCCAAAGGGCGGTGCAGCCACACACGATCTCCGGGTTTATACACAGGTCCGTTCGTCTTGCGATCGTACACGTCCTTTTGGTGCTTGCTGGCATTTTGTAGGTTGATCTTCACTAAGCGATAGGCGTCGGCTAGGCGGCTGCGAAGATTACAGATGTATACTACATGATCTTGGATCTCGCATGGTAACAGCGGTATTTGCAGCTCAACGGGTAGGCGCAATTCATGCCCAAAAAGCAGGGTCGCCGGTGAAAATCCTGTAGATCCGTGCACTGATGAGCGGTAAGTTAACAGACATTGTGGTATCACGTCATCCCAACCTTCCGTCGACGACTTATTGATAAACGATTGAAGGAGAGCTTTGATAGTCCTGTTGGTTCTTTCCACTAAGCCGTTACCTTCTGGATGATATGCGGTAGTGTGTGTTTTCCGGATTCCCAATAATCGACATACCTGGGCGACGAGATGACTTTCAAAAGCTGAACCTTGGTCAGAATGGATTGAGAGGGGAGCGCCGTACCGGGATACCCAATGATCAATGAAAGCCCGAGTAACTGTGAGGGCATCTTGTTGTGGTATAGGCACAGCTTCACACCATTTGCTGAAATAGTCTACCATAACCAGTAAATAACGGTTTCCGTTCTTTGACGTTGTGAGTGGCCCCATAATATCGATGCCAACTCGCTGATGCGGACCTTCTGTCGTCATTGGAACTAAGGGTGCGTGGGGTATTTGTCGGGGTGACTTGATAGCATAGCACGTGCTACAATGTTTGCAGAATTCTGCAACGTCTTCGTGGATGGATGGCCACCAAAACCTTCCGCAGATAGCATGTTTAGTCTTCCGTGTTCCTGAGTGCCCCAGTTCTCGGTGTACCTGCTCCATAATATTCTGAACTTGTATACGTGGTACTATCAATAGTGGTTGTTTTGATTCACTGACTATAAATAGCGTGTCTTCATACAATCTTAGACCGCCCCACTTGGCACAAAGACGGCGCGTTTCCAAGGAATGATCCTTTAACTCTGTCATAGATGGTTTATTATTGCCATGTAGTTGCCTCTGATAAATAAATCGCAGATCTGGGTCTTCTGCTTGAAGAGACGGCCAGTCGATCTCGGGGGCTGTGCTAAGGACGGCACTAATGGTATCAGGAGAATAAGGTATACGAGATAGAGAATCAGCGTTTGTGTGTCGGCTTCCGGGTCGGTATTCACAGGTAAAATCAAACTCCTGCAACCTCTCCTGCCAGCGCGCTACCTGACCTTCTGGTTCACGGAACGAACGAAGCCACTGTAGTGCACGGTGGTCTGTGCGTACACGAAAGGGTCGTCCTAAAAGATAGTGACGAAAATGTTGCGAAAATTTTACCAAAGCCAGCATCTCTCGGCGCGTCGTAGAATACCTTGTCTCCCTCTTATCTAACCGCCGACTAGCGTAAGCAATGACACGCTCCTGTCCATCTAGTGCTATTTGAGACAGGACTGCTCCAATAGCTGATGAACTAGCATCTGTATCGAGTATAAACTCACCCGCTTTAGCAGAAGTGTCCGGAAAAGCTAGTATGGGTGGAGCAGCAAGACACGACTTCAAAGTGCTAAATGCTTGTTGACACTCTGTGGTCCACAAAAATGTTCGTCCTTTGTGCATCAGGCGATGCAGAGGTGCTGCCAGGGATGCGAAATCCCGTACGAAACGTCTATAATAAGAAGCGAGTCCCAGGAAGCTGCGAACATCCTCGGCAGATTTCGGTTGTGGCCAGTTAATAATGGCGCTCGTTTTTCCCTGATCTGTTGCTACTCCATCTTCTGTAATGCGATGCCCTAGAAAGAGCACTTCTTTTTGCAATAGTCGACATTTAGATGGTTTAACTTTTAGGTTATGCTGCTTAATTCGTTGTAGGACTGCCTTCAAATTGGCATTATGCTGTTCCGGCGTTCTGCCATACACAATAATATCATCAAGGTAAATTAAACACTGGTGTGGTACGAGACCATGTAGAACTGTCTGCATTAATCGTTGGAAAGTGGCTGGGGCATTAGTTAACCCAAACGGCATCACTTGAAACTCATATAGACCATTGGGTACTGTGAATGCAGTCTTTTTTCTATCTTGAGGTCGGACTTCCACTTGCCAATACCCTGATGCTAAGTCTAAAGTCGAGAACCAACGAGCGCCTTTCATGGCATCTAATGTAGCGTCTATACGTGGAAGTGGAAAAGAATCACGCTTAGTTATAGCGTTAAGGCGGCGGTAGTCTACGCATAGTCGTAGGGAAGAGTCTTTCTTTTTCACTAAAACGATAGGCGATGCCCATGGTGATGAAGATGGTACAATAATCTTTTTTTCTAACATATCTTTTATCATGGATTCTAAATGAGGTTGATAATGCACCGGGACTCTGCGAGGTGGTTGGCGTAATGGCATGTGGTCACCTGTGACAATGGAATGTTGCACAATGGTTGTCCGATTTCCAGAAATGTTCTCCGAGAAAACAGTGCTAAATCGTTGGAGTACGTCAATGGTAGCCCGACGGTCCTTTTCACTTATTAATTGGTTATCTTGTACCTGACGTACAATCTCTGCAGTTCCCACCTGGGCTACGGACTTAGTTGGTATTTCATGGTGTTGTATTTGTACGACAACTCCACCAATATTCGCTTCTGACTTATTCATGTGTATAGAGACCTGGTATTTTAACATGAAGTCGACCCCGAGAATCATGTCCCAAGTCAGTGTGGGGCAAACCCAGAATTCATGTTGAAAAGGCTTCTTGTCAATCGTCAGCTCTAACCCTATCTTAGAACACGCTTTCAAGGGTTCTCCGCTCGCGGTAATTAAGGTAGAAGAGCGTTGTTTCCGCTGAGTGCTAGGGTTAAGTTTCTGCAAGAGGTCTTCCTTAATCAAGGATACTGAAGCTCCTGTATCTAATAGTATATTAATCTCAGTACTTTGCACTCTACCCTTAATAGTAACAGGGCACAAATGTTTAACATAGCAAGACGATATATGTAAACGACACTGCTTACCTCTGTTTTTCACGCGGTTATGCCCGCATTTCTTGGCATTTTTGCCGAAACGTCTGCAATAGAAGCATTCTGTTTGCTGGCCTCGATAGTTGTCTCTTGACGACCGTCCGTTCCATGTGGGGGTCGGCTGCCCTCGTCTACTATTCTGGTCAGGGAACTCTCTAACAGCCGCGGCGCTTTGAAAGCTATCTTGTCGATTAGGTTCGGTAGCTTCATCGATAGTCATCACGGTTGGTCGATAGGTCGCCAATGGAACTGACAGTCTTTCAGCAGTCAACAACCGAAGTGCCGTTCGTTTCAAGTCGGCTGTGTCAGCCGGTGGCACTCGAAGTAGATGTTCTCGCAGTGCACCTGGCAGCAGTCCTTCAATAAAACGGGAGCGTGTGATGTCTTCTCGCCCCAAGATGTCCAGGCTAGGGAATGCCTGGGTTGCTATCTGCTGTAATGAGTGAAGATAGTCGATGGGGCTTTCATGAGGTTTCTGGTGGCGAGACAAAAATTGGATGGCTGACTGCTGGGTATCCACCTTCAACGAAAAACATTCATCTAAAATCTTCCAATTTTGAGATGGTGAATTGCACGCATTAAAGCCGTTAGCTGTCGCTCGTTTCGCTGCTTCGTCATCCAAGTAGGACAGAAGATAGTCGAAGTGTTCCGAAGTTGGAACTCGACGTAGGCACGTCATTACTTTAATTTTCCAGATGTCATAGTCTGATGAGACGCCTAACAGTGGCGATTGGCGAGGGGTTGTGTTGACTGGTAACTTGCCAGGGATGGCTGGGGGTTCATCATGTTTTGACATAAACACCTCCATCACCACTTGTAGCACGTTTTCTTAGCGTTTACCTGGAGGCAGGAGCAATCTGAAACACAACACAACAGTCAGGACTGGCAGATGCCACTCAAGTGAGAACACGGCGTGCGAGCACAACAGAGATATATTAGAAATTGAAATACACGGTTTTTGTACAAAAAGAGAAGTCTGTTACAAAATAGTTTTACTCATCATCCAGCAGGTTTAGTTTGCGCAAGCTTTGTTCTTCTTCTTCTAATACGTTCACTTTCTGTTGTCCTGCAATAAGGAAAACAAACCTGCATTAATAAAGTTACACGTAATGACTTTCGATACTGTTACAACGCACCTAGTTGTAAAACGCGCTCATCACAGTCTCAAGGTCATGCGTTTGATCGATTTTCTTAAAGAGTCCAACTTCTAGCAAGTTCACCCTTTTACATATATGCATTACAAAAGAGTATTTTTTTGTTTTCATGGTTTTTCGTGCACAAGATATCTACACTATGTCTATTCTCTTCCAGAATACCAATCCGTTCTGGAGACCAAGCACTTACATGGAACCGAACAATTATCAATTACATTTATGTATTTCCATTTTGTATCTTATTATTTTATGCAGGCAGTGGAGCAGTTCTTCAGGTTTGCTTGGTTTTCACCATTACCTTTGAAGTAGATTCTTCTTTACTTTTTACTTGAGGGCGACTCAAGAGGCAGGTGAGTAAACACCTGATAGCCGGTCTGAGCATGGAAAAATCGTACCTCACCAACATGGTGTTGGGTAGCCCGCTCGCGGCACTTCCTCAGATATTCTTATTCCACATTCTCACACTTTCTCTTGAAAGCACGCAGTAAACCGTCAGCCATAGTTGTAGAATAGATCACATGCTACAAAATAAGATGACAAGCTAGTAAATGAGGAGACATCCATGGACTATCGTTGACAGCGTTAGTCGTCATTGATTGTAAGTCAAATAGTGAGCGAGTTGATAATTTTCCCTTGGGATGAGAAATAGAACTAAGGTGTTTTCGAATAGTTAGGTTAATCGAACCGACGTTCCTAAGGAAGTCGATTCTAGGGGGAAGCTAATGTAACAGCTAAGGTTGGTTGGTTCAGAGTTGACCCCAAACAACCAAGCATATGCCAAAACAGTATTGTTCAAGTATTCATTCACTTCCTTGTTTTGTATAAGCGTTATATTCCCTATTATCTTATATTGACTGTTGGGAGCCTTTGTTTGTCTGAACAGATAATCCAATGCTCCACTGTCACCGCGCGAAGATCGAAATAAAGACCTATTCACTACTTCTCTGGTTTCTTCTATCAATAGCACGAGGGTTACCTTAAGGCACGAAAAATACATCAAAAGAAGGAATATGAAGTGCCAATGTGACCTAAGTGCAACGCAATAACTTGTTAAATAATGAACCACACTACAAAGCAAGAAGCTAGCCTCGTTATAGCAGCAAACATGGATGTAGTTATATGTGTAGTCTGATTGGGATTACCAATTGTAGCGTGGCGTCGAGTTGAGGTTAACTATGAACACCGCTACAAAGAAACACGTGCTAAGCGGATCAGAAGGCGTAAGAAGCTCGTTCCAAATGACTCCATAAAATCCCCGAGAAGCCAAATATCAGAAGACAGTTAATGGACCAAGTCGAGGTTTATTAGCTGGCGATCTCGTGCCATCGAAAGGATACCGAGATCGTGCCAGGATACAACCTTGGTTACAGAAGGTAACCGAATTCGCGCGAAGTTACAATCGAAGTGTAAGTAAAAGAATGGAAGCACAAAATAGCTGTCATTAGCACAGTCAAACAAAAGCACGTTAAAACAAACACTGGTACAGTTGGTTATAATCATAATTGTTTTTATTAAACCAGTCGTGTTCTCGTGATAAACGTGAGTCAATAATCACAATGAAATAGAATAAGTCACTACACATAAAATAGGTAAAAGTACAAGTTGATAGTACGAAGACAGGTGAACAGATAGTGGTAAGAATAATAAACTATAATAACAAAACTCTTATCAATAGTTAATCGTTGGAAATAGAAGGTCAAATAAACATGGGTAAATAGACTAGGAATAGTAATCACAAAACCTTAAAAATCATTACGTAATAAGATGTGTGTAAATAATTAGATAGTGAAGAATACAAAGAGGCGGATAATGACAAACAAATAATGGATGTGGAAATAAGGTTAACAATAACACAAATAGAATAAAATAAATAATGATAATGATAAAATTTAAAATAAAAAAAATTGTTAGTTAAGTTATAACTGGCCATGGAAGGGATAGGGGAGTCACGTATTTCTTCTGTACACATAGATTGGGGTTATATGTACGAATTCCAATGGCTTCAGCTATATATAGGAGACGGGAACGGACTCCGTCGGGAAATGATGGAGGTATACGATAGATAACTCGAAATGATTTCGATTTCTCTACTGTATGACCGCTATCAATAAGATGTGCTAGTATAGAACTCCGAATAGTTTTTCTCTGACCCTTTATGTACCAAGTTGGTAAATGTTCACTCATTCGTTGGTTAAGTTGCCTGGTAGTACGCCCTATATAGCTATCTCCACAGGAGCAGCTGAATTTGTAAATGCACATGGAAGAGGCCAACTCAGGTAACTTATCCTTCGTTTGAGTAGACATCGCTGGACGACAAGAGAAGGTCAACGCAAGATTGGCTGCGTAGAATGTCTTGGTGATTACTTTGGTTAACCTATATTTCAGAGTGTCACTAGCCACATCCCCGTTGAATTGCACTTTCATGTATAAAGGTTTCTTACGAACAGTCGAAATCTCCGACTTCTTTATTATATCCTGCATGTATTTCTTGATGAACGCGCTGGGGTAGCCGATCTCGGTCAGTGAGTTGTTGAGAAATTCAAGCTCCTGACTTAAAGTGTCTACTGTACAGATCTTTTTTGCTCTGCTCGTGAGACATCTGACCAAATTTCTCTTGTACCGGATGGGTGTGAAACTGCAGAAGTGAGTATATTGGCATGAAGAGGGGTTTCTTCTATACACGCTTCTACTTAACGTGCCGTCACTTCGTCTGCTTAGCGTGACGTCAAGGAAGCTCAGCTTCTTATCATGCTCGCTTTCACCAGTGAAGGTGATCGCTGGGTGAACACTGTTGAATTGGTCTAGGAGTTCCTCTTTACTAGTGTTTTGGTCTACGATAATGAATGTGTCGTCAATGTATAGACAATATAAATCCAGTTTCTTAATAGTCTCATTGAGAGGTCCGTTTTCTAGCTTTGCTAGGAAGAGGTCAGCTAAAATCGGGCCTAAAGGCGAGCCCATGGCTATCCCGTCTATTTGTCTATAGTAAGTATTGTTGAAGACAAAATGTACATTCAGAGTGCATCTTAGGAGCAGTTCCCTTAGGCTATCGTTAGGCAGGCCAATGTTGATTTGTTTCTTTGATATTTGCTTGCATATAAAATCAATAGTCTCTATAAGTGGTGCGTTGGTGAACAAAGATTCTACATCCTATGAGATCATATTTTTCATGCTTACATTAATATTTTCTACTTTGGAGATGAAGTTGAAGACATCTTTTACACTATTTCTAACACCCATCCGGTACAAGAGAAATTTGGTCAGATGTCTCACGAGCAGAGCAAAAAAGATCTGTACAGTAGACACTTTAAGTCAGGAGCTTGAATTTCTCAACAACTCACTGACCGAGATCGGCTACCCCGGATGTGGCTAGTGACCACACTGAATATAGGTTAACCAAAGTAATCACCAAGACATTCTACGCAGCCAATCTTGCGTTGACCTTCTCTTGTCGTCCAGCGATGTCTACTCAAACGAAGGATAAGTTACCTGAGTTGGCCTCTTCCATGTGCATTTACAAATTCAGCTGCTCCTGTGGAGATAGCTATATAGGGCGTACTACCAGGCAACTTAACAACGAATGAGTGTACATTTACCAATTGGTACATAAAGGGTCAGAGAAAAACTATTCGGAGTTCTATACTAGCACATCTTATTGATAGCGGTCATACAGTTGAGAAATCGAAATCATTTCGAGTTATCTATCGTATACCTCCATCATTTCCCGACGGAGTCCGTTCCCGTCTCCTATATATAGCTGAAGCCATTGGAATTCGTACATATAACCCCAATCTATGTGTACAGAAGAAATACGTGACTCCCCTATCCCTTCCATGGCCAGTTATAACTTAACTAACAATTTTTTTTTATTTTAAATTCTATTATTATCATTATTTATTTTATTCTATTTGTGTTATTGTTAACCTTATTTCCACATCCATTATTTGTTTGTCATTATCCGCCTCTTTGTATTCTTCACTATCTAATTATTTACACACATCTTATTACGTAATGATTTTTAAGGTTTTGTGATTACTATTCCTAGTCTATTTACCCATGTTTATTTGACCTTCTATTTCCAACGATTAACTATTGATAAGAGTTTTGTTATTATAGTTTATTATTCTTACCACTATCTGTTCACCTGTCTTCGTACTATCAACTTGTACTTTTACCTATTTTATGTGTAGTGACTTATTCTATTTCATTGTGATTATTGACTCATATTGCCTTGATTGGTTTAAAATTTTCGTATAAATATCCATGTATATTAGAGTAAAGCCTGATGACGATCTAATTGAAAACAATTATTCGCTTATATGTGTTGTTCTAATTTTCACGATGGGAATCTTTAATATTCTAAAATCGCGTGGGGACCCTGTTGCATTTATGATAAACGTGAGTCACTACATATGATATCGAAAAACAAGTTGATGTTGTCCATGTTTGCTTCAGTCAAACAAGCAATAACATGCCTCGTAGCAGACTGTTTTGGGATTTTAAAAATGCTAGAAAAGCAGGGCCTCTCTCAGAAACTGTCTGTTAGGTCGTTAACAAAAAGTAGGAGTGAATTCTAATTGTTAGATGGTGGTTGGAGGTAGTCGACAGGAAACCCTGGACCCGGGTTTCGTGCTACTTAGCACTCGTCAGCAAGGTGTACCTGTAATCTTAAGGGAACTGGTGCTCTCTGGCGGATTCGATCCCGTGTCACCCAGTCTCACAGTCAGATACGTTACCACAGGGCTATCCGGGCCGTGACCGCCCTCTTGTAAAACTGAGATGTAATCACAGTTGATTGATCACTGAGTGGTGATCAATGCCATGTGTGTCCAGTGCAGATTGAATTCTATCGACCATGAATTCTAAGTGTTCCTCGGGGAAATCTTCCGTTAGTGGAGTACCAAATGGTTTCGACATAGATTCTTTAGTTTTTCATTTTATCCTAATTCATTTCCACGCATCTTTAGATCCTCAATGCTACTTTAAACAGATGACATCAAGATTGTGAAAGAGGTTGCGAATAGACGTGCAGTGGCGGCCAACTTAGACGGCATGCCTACTTTATTCAAATAGTGATTAACGCACATCAGTACAGGGAAGGATATCCGCATGAACGCTGAATATATTAATGGAATTAACCACAGTATAGAGGAAGAGTTTGTGTTTCCAATCCTGTCTGGCGGGAAACTAAGGGCAAGAAGCAATCGCAACCTCGAAACTTGGGCTCATTGAGGTATAGTTGTATCCGAAAGACTCGAAATCCTATGTTCACCACAGTATATATAACGTTAGTGAGACCGAAGCTTGAAAATCATATTCAGTCTACAAGCCCCTGTTTAGAATGTGGCTCGAATATCTTGTTAAAGTACAGAGGATAGCTGATCGTTCAATCCCAGAATTCTGTGGCTTAGAGTACACAGTATGGCTTGGAGAATTAGACCTCATTAATCATTCCTACCGCAAGTTAAGTTTGCGGGTTATGACGTAAAGGATACTGTAGCAGTAAATAAATCCCAAAGAATAGTTCTAAGTCATCGAAAGTGATGCTGACCTCACTAGTTTTATCAGAAATGCCCTTAAGTGAAGGTACTCAGTTAAACAGCACTAGATTACGTTTGGGTACGCCGTGCTGTGGATCACTCACATTAACCAGTCAGCTTAAACCACATATTTCTGGACATATCGACTACATTCCAAATATATCTTCAAAAACCATCATTCCTGACTTCCGATTTGACTGGTTTTGAGAAAGGCTTTGAGGACAATAGAGTTGTCATGCACTAAATATCCATGACATATTTGATTCGATGAAATGACTCGGATCTTATAAATCATCCCTCCTTTGTTCTGCTAGATCGGGAGAACTCACCGAATACAACATGCTAGTTGTCTGTTGTCAGAAATCAGTAATAAATATGAATGTTGTAAATATGTAGGCTAAGTAAGGCTGTAGTAAAACAACAAGAAGTGAGCATAAAGAAGTCAATCGGTTTCTACAAGTTCGTAGCAAAGGTATTGAGGACTCATATACTGGAGAAAACGGCACTTGAGGTATTGAGCAGCTATTGTGGGGAATTCCATTAGTGCGCTTCGCATCGCGTGGTTGACTTGAGCTATTGCGCGTAGCTGACAGCCAGCGACAACTTTCTGTGGACAGATGGCCTCCAGCTCTGAGTCAGACATTAGCGCAAGGCGAGTTCTTGTTGCGTATTAAATACCATAATAAGGTTTTTTGTTGGGGCTATTAATATATATATATATATATATATATATATATATATATATACATATATATAGGCATTCTGGAAATCTTACCTGCTTAACCAGTCGGGTTTGTTTCATGTATCATAACAACTAACTTCAAACTAAAGACATACTAACTCTCTGTTCGAGCGTTTCCAGCTTATTTTTCTTTTCATAAGTTGCACATGTTTCCTTTGTTGGATGGGTATTCAAACACATAACAATGTTCAGGTCTTTTAGTCGTTCGGAATTTTTATAACCCTTACTACTCGACTGAACTTTCTAAATTGCTTCAGGGTTTTTAATGTGAGCCTGAAAATGATTCATAAATATATTACTCTTGAATTTATGGAAAATCAGTAGATCAATTCAAATTTTTGCGGGTCATGTGTAAAAAACGTTGAATTAGTGGTTTGACTTACCTATCATACCTGTGTTTAGAAAAATAACTTCATTCTCAGTTGAAAGCAAGGAGTCATACTTGACTTTTTCGGAATCTTTTGAGGGATAGGCTGCTTTTATCCGTACAGCCCACACAACTGTACGTAAATTATAAACGGAGTATTTCCAAGGTTTACACTTATTTTTTATTGCGGTAACTATCCCTTACTGAGTTTTTATTTCGATCTTTCGTCTGTAAAAACAGACTACTAGTGTAAAGAAAATCCAAACCCTATTTCGATTTGAATTGAAATTTTTTCGCCTTCTAATGAGTTCACTAGATTTTCGTTATCCATTTATCTAGAATCTAATGTTATTACTGGATCAACTTTAGATCCACTTATTCACCTATCCTCCTTAAACGACAGTCGAGAACTTCACTTCTCGTCAAGTAACCTACCTTATGTTCTTTACCTATATGCTATGAAAATACCAATAAGGTGCTTATATTGTTATTTTGGCTAAGTCTAGTGTCGTCCAACCAGTTGAACTAGTTCAGGAAGGAATGATAGATTACATGGTTGAATTGATGGTTACCGAAATGTCTTGGATGCGTTAAAAGTACTATTTACTTATCTAACTACTTTTATCCTTTACAGCTGCTGTGATCAAGAAGTTACACACACAGATACACCGAAGATTAACAAGGGTCCAAAGGTAGAAGATTTTAATTGTTTTTTATCTTAGAAATCCTTTTGCTTTAATGCTGTCAGCTAACAGTGTTTTGAAAGCTTGGTGTTGGACATTCTTCTGTTCTCTAATCTCGGGTTTTGAAATGAAGACAATAATCCTATGTAATAATGATGCGCATATTTCTGTCCAAATTAAATTATCATTTTAAAATTGAACTTAAGCATAAAAGTTTGAGGAAAATATTTGTTTAGTGTTCGTATTTAGCCAACCCAGGATCAAACGAGGGTTTCATACTGGTTAGTACTCGTCAACAGAATGCACCTTCTCGTTGGGACTCACCAGCTTTTTTTGACGATAACATTGAAAATATCACTAACTTATTTCGTCCTGGGAATGGTCCATCACAGAACCATGTACGTAATTCAATCTACGTGTGATAGCAACTGTTGTGATCAAAGACGAATGTGTTCACTGTGTTAGGTAATACAGTTCTGGACAACTGTACATGGTTTAGTTGTTTTAGTTACTTCTCAGTCACTAAATTACAGCCCCCAAATGCCCTGGTATGGCTGAGAATGGGGTGGGCTCACCTCCCTCTCGGAATGCTCTCACACGACCACGCGTATACAGCCTATGCCAGAGAAGTCCTACTCACTGCATTCTCGTGGCCGGGGTGTTGTTTACGAAAATAAGAGGACGAAAAGCGAATGTCGGGCGCTTTAACTGGATCCCAAACCAATGGTGCATATGAGCTCCAGTATCCTGCGGGAACAAATGGCGTATGAACCAATTTTCGGTCACCGGCTACCATGGGACTGCATTTCCTTACGATGCTTCATTGCCTTGTGGATCAGACCTTTAAGTCAAAGGCTCGGGGGGTGGCCTCCTAAGTAAACCATCTGCTTCGGTCTGGGCACTTGGGCAGTATCACAGCCCACACACAAATATAATGAAAATAATGGAAATGATGATATTTACTGAAAACTCTATTCTGGCTTCGATTTACAGTCAAACAATTCACATTATTTATTTATTTATTTATTTATTATTATTATCATTATTATTATTACTATTATTATTATTATTAATAACTACGTTATTTATTCACTCTCTTTTATTCCCACTTTATGTATCCTTATTTTTCGACTTATACAGCAGCTCGCCTATGGTGAAAACTCGGTCCTATCTAAACGTTCTCGAGTCACTGCCTGGCTGAGAATTGTATGCTACCACCAAATACGAATACTGAAGCAGTTTTTCTGAAACTACGTGCACCATTCCAACTGGCATTCTTCAACGTTCACGCACTAATGCAGGTCAGAAAACAGATAGGGTTGGTTATGTCTTTAGGAAGTCTTAATCTCGATGTTCGTTGTCTATTCGAGACTTTGGTGAAGTACTACAAATTCGCTCTCTATCTGTCACTTCAAAAGGCTTGTTTTACGTGCGCTTATCCGAGGGCCCTGTGGCATTTTCGTCTGGTCTTGCTGGCGTTGGTGTAGCACTAAGCACTAGAGCTGAGGCAACACTAATCGACTGGATCCTCACTAACGCGTATATAGCCTCTGCCAGGGAAGTCCAACTCACTGTCTCCTCGTGGCCGGGGTGTTGTTTACGAAAATAAGAGGACGAAAAGCGAATGTCGGGCACTTTAACCGGATCCCAAACCAGTGGTGCATATGAGCTCCAGTATCCTGCGGGAACAAATGGCGTATGAACCAATCGTTGGTCACCAGCTTCCACGGGACTGCATCTCTACGATGCTCCACTGCCCTATGGATCAGACCTTCAGGTCGAAGGCTCGGGGTGTGGCCCTCTAAGAAAACCACCTGCTTCGGTTTGGGCACCCGGGCAGTATCACAACCCTCACACATATCGAATGAGATTTGTGTAGCGCATATGTATTTGGTGCCTCCTTGTACCAATATCTATGTGTTAAAACAAAAAAATCACTAACAGTTGGCTATATACTGTTAGATTAGAAAGTTCCATGAAAGTGAGAAGAAATCGGCGTGAGAAACGATGTCTTTTCGTCATCTCCGCCTATACCTCGACAGATTGCAGCCCGAATGCGATCAAGGATGAATTCTACCACCAGTTAACTGTTCTTCTCCAGAAGGTGCGTTCGACAGATATTGTAGTACTAGCCGGAGACTTGAATGCTCAGGGCGGACGTCTAGGCACAGAAGAGAGTCGTTTAGGTGGTCGTTGGGGACTCGTTGGTCGCAGGACAGATAACGGAGACCGTCTACTGAGACTGTGCACAGACCACAACCTGTTTCTGGCTATCACTAACTTTCAGCACAGTCATCGCCGATGTGCCACCTGGCGTCCTCCCTCTTCATCTCAAGACTGGACTCAGATTGATCACATTGCGATTAGCTACCGCTGGTGTGGTTGTGTACAAGATTGCCGCTCCTTTTGGAGTACCTATCTGGACTCTGATCATGCCCTGGTCTGCGCCAATCTTACCTTACTTTTCAGTGGCCAACGAGGTGATCTTCACCAAAGGATTGATGCCAGCAAGTTGGTTGCAACTTCTGTTGTAACTAAGTATCGAATCGAGCTAGCTTCTAGGCTAGCTACCATTCCACCGAAAAGTATGGATGAGCATTGGTTGCAACTGTATGACGCCATGAAAATGGCGGGTAAAGCTGCTTGCGGCTTCGTGAAACGTCCTGCTTATAAGCACTGGGTTTCTTCATGCTCCTTACAACTCATCGAAGCTCATCGGTCTACTCCGGGTAACCGTGAGTTTGACCACAAACGAAGGATATTACGTAATGAAATCGGGCAAAGCTTGCGTAAGGACCGAGAAGCCTGGTGGTCGGAGCGTGCTAACGAGTTGGAAGCAGTAGCTGCGTCTGGTAATTACCGGAAGCTCTTCCAACTCATCCGAGTCACTGGCAGTAAGAAGTCTGATGTGAGTGAAACAATCTGTTAGGATGACGGGATGCCAATCACTAACATCCATCGACGTCTTGGACGATGGGCAGAATTCTTCGAAGAGTAGTTCAACTGGCCTGCTGCTCCGGCAACATCGGTCAGACTGTCCTGCCCTTCATGGCCAGTGACGGCTAATCCACCAAATGAGTGGAAAGTCCGCAAGGAACTCCAACTCTTGAAGCGTAACAAATCACTGGGCCCAGATGACTTACCTCCGGCTCTTTTTAAAGATGGTGGTGACTTTCTGGCTAAGGAACTGACAACGTTGTCTACATAGGTCTGGAAACTAGAGAGTGTACCAACGTCATGGAATGAAACGGATGTTGTCCCTATCTTTAAAAAGGGTTCACGTCGTTCCTGTAACAACTATCGGGGGATAAGTCTACTTCCGATTGCGTTCAAGCTATTGGCTTCCGTCATACTTCGTAGGTTGTTCAAAACCCGAGAAAGATTGATTCGCAAGGAGCAGGCTGGTTTTCGTCCTGGTCGAGGATGTATTGATCATATCTTCACCCTCCGCCAAATGTTAGAACAGCGTCATACTTATCAGAGGCCAACAATCGTAGTGTTTCTTGACATCAGGGCTGCCTTCGATTCGTTGGACAGGACTGTTCTCTGTGATTGTCTATTGAAGAAGGGTGTGCCTGAGAAGTTTATTAACATCCTAAAGGCCCTATATACAAACACCTCAGGCAAAGTGAGGGCATACGACCACCTCTCTCCATTGTTCCATTCAAGTATTGGAGTTGGACAGGGTTGCTCAATCTCATCATTCCTCTTAAACTTCGCCATCGATGACATTCTGGAAACAGCTTTGATGTATGTAGGTAATGGTAGTGTGGATTTGTTGCCTGGAGAAAGACTTCTTGACCTTGAGTATGCGGATGATATTGTCTTACTGTGCGATAATGCCCAAGTCATGCGATCCGCACTTAATCAGTTGACAATCAGCGTCCGTAGGTATGGTATGTGCTTTGCACCATCAAAGTGCAAAGTACTTCTACAAGACTGGCAGGATTCTAATCCTGTACTCAACCTGGGTAGTAAGCAGATAAAAGTAGTCGAGAAGTCCGTGTATCTAGGTAGCTGTATAAGTGCTGGTGGTGGCGTGAGTGATGAGATCAATGCACGTATAGTGTAAGCCAGAGCGGCTTATGCCAATCTGGGCCATCTTTGGCGCCTTCGTGATGTTAGTCTGGCTGTAAGAGGTCGGATCTACAACGCGTCGGTGAGAGCAGTTTTGCTCTATGCTTGTGAAACCTGGCTTCTCCGAGTTGAGGATGTTAGACGACTCTCTGTGTTCGATCATCGCTGTTTCCGAAGGATTGCCGACATCCAGTGGCAACACCATGTTAGTAATGCAGAGGTTCGGCATCGTGTGTTCGGGCACAGAGATGATAATGCAATCGATGTCACCATCTTGAAACACCGACTTCGGTGGCTTGGACATGTTCTCCGAATGTCGTCCCAGAGAATTCCACGTCGTGCATTATTTGCCAACGTCGGGACTGGTTGGAAGAAGCGGAGAGGTGGTCAGTGTATGACATGGTGTCGTGGTGTGAAAGAAAGCTGTAAATGGCTGGTCTGTGTTGGTTCTTCACGACTCCCTGGTTGGGGTCCTAGAGATAGTGCGACAGAGTGGCTAGAGACGTTATCATATCTACTCACTGCCTTCTCGTGGCGGGGGTGTTATTTACAAAAATGAGAGGACGAAAAGCGAATGTCCGGTGCTTTAACCGGATCCCAAACTGATGGTGCACATGGGCTCCAGTATCCTGCGGGAACAAATGGCGTATGAACCAATCGTTGGTCACCGGCTACCATGGGACTGCATCTCCTTACGATGCTTCACTGCCTTGTGGATCAGACCTCTAGGTCAAAGGCTCGGGGAGTGGCCCCCTAAGAAAACCACCTGCTTCGGTTTGGGCACCCGGGCAGTATCACAGCCCTCGCACATATCGAATAAGATTTGTGTGGCGCATATGTATTTGGTGCCTTCTTGTACCAATATCTATGTATTAAAATAAATAAATAAAATTATCATATATGGTTCAGAATAGAAGCCAGTGGCGATCCTGCTGTAACCTTCTTTTACTTTCTTCATAAAAAGTGGTTGTGTCTTCCTTAACTGAAAGAATTCTTTTGGTTGTATCTTTCTGTTTCCCCAATTATTACTATTATTATTATTGTTACACTACCTTACACTAATTTATTCGTTATTGTTCTTTTTTTCTCTCTTCCCATTCTCAATGTTTTGTGTGGCGCATATATATTTGGTGTCCTCTTGTATCAGTATTTATGTGTTCAAATAAATAAATAAAAATAAATAAATTAGAGAATAAGGAAATGAACTTTTAACTCTTGATTGAGCGTTAAAGTATAATTGCTTTAACTTTTGAGTCATAGCCATGCCATCCGCATTCGGTTTTCCCACGTATCGGCTTACATTTTATACATGACATGAACCTCATGGCTCCATTAAATTAATGGGCGGTACAATAAGATTCATATTATAGGAGGTAAACAAAATCACTCCCATCCGCTCCTTTTCTTCACACAAGGTTACATCACAATCTCTAACTTCTACCCATTCACCAATACTTTTTAAAGTTTTCAATCCCCTTTGTTTCACTAGTTCGTTATCTCGCTGCATGCTTCAGCTTAAACACCATATCTCTCACCATATCATTATTATCACCATAAAACTAGGTGTCTTTTATATGTAATACGTTTCTTCATTACCACCTGATTAGTTTTCTAAAAACTCTACAGTTTCCAAAAACATCTCAAATATTGACTTATCACATGTAGATGTTTGTTATATAGATGAAGGCCACTCATTGTATCATGCGTTACTTTTGTAGACCATTAATAACGCCAATATACACGTTTGGTTCTATTCGAAACTCGTAAAGGAAACACGTCGAATTATCTGCCGAACCTTTGTCAAAAACTGAATCGACCATTTATTTTTTAATAATAGTCAGACACCGTAAAACCCCTTATTTATTTGACAAATATTTAGTGTAACATTGCTCGTTGCTTTCAGTTATTGTTTTTAATGACGTAATTAATCTTTGGTAGTTTGTAAGTTGGTTGTATGAAAAACATATTCCAGGTCGCTTCCGTTTCTTCTGCTTGGGGATTGCCGGAACCAGTTCTTCGCGTAGGAAATCGTACTATCTTTACGCATGGACGTCCACCTTGGTATAATGCTGAAGGACAAACTCAACAGCCTTTTGTAATCGGCATATGTGGAGGTAGTGCAAGCGGTAAAACATCTGTTGCCCGCGTAATTATTGAAAGTTTGGATGTACAGTGGGTCAGTTTAATAAGTTTGGACTCATACTACAAGGTTAGTCTAATCCTCAATTCTACATAATTCCAGTAATTAGTTAGGTTAACTTATTTAACAGGAAGTTCCTAATGAGCCATATTCTAATTGTAATGGCTGGTGATATCACTAGGTTGCCCAAACCAAAGTGATTATGGTGGGGTTCGAACCTGGGACCTTGTGTCCAGAGGTCGAACGCTTTCATCACTACGCTGCCCAAACTCATTAGATTTCTGTTTACCATAGGGATCAGAAGTTAGAATATAATTTTATTAATTGAAAATGTTTGTAGTGGGTAAACTTTTACATATTAGTGTAACAAACTAATAAAATTCAGAAAATAATGAGCAAGTTTTTAAGTTGAAAGTTTGTCTTTCACAAATCAGCAAGTTATGTTATTCTGAGGATTACATCTCAGAAATTTTGGATTGTCCAGGCTTATCGGCCTGATAAGCAAGGACTGTTTGGGTATGTTGAATTGTGTTATAGCGTTGTCCCACTCTGGTTGTTGCGGAGGCTAATTAGGTAAATTGAAGTCATCTTTCATATTATGTTACTTGTTCCAGTCAATAAAAGCTAGTCATTATCTCTGATACTATATTTAAACTCGTTTTCGTTGAGTTGACGTGCTATAAAATCATATTTGACTATTTCTTTGAAAACGGGAAACAGTAATCATTGTTTTTTTATAATTTTGATAATAGTACAAAGTGGTCGATTAATAACTGTTCATGAGGTCGAATTGCTATTGTACCATACTAACAGTCAAAAAGGGTTAGTTGACTATCAGATTTAATCTTTTATAGGGACATCAATAATATATGAATGTCAACCTCTCGGAATATGTTTTTATTCCCTTGATTTCCTGTAGTTTACTAATGTAGCTCATTTGCTATGTATAGATTCGTGTAGTCGGCTTTTTAGTTGTGGTTTGTAAGGTTTAGTAACACTAGTGATTAGCCCTCACTGAAGTAGACGAACCTAGGTTTTATCCCAAAACCTAGTGGTTGAAAGTCAAGTACTTTAACCACCAAGTTACTGTCTCAGTTTGATTTGCTTTCATATAAAATTTTACATAATATCTATCATTTTGTTTGGTGACGTACAGGTATTTGTGTGTAGAAATGAAGTACTTTTGTTTGATAAATATTTTTCCTCATTATTTGTTCTTTTTATTTTCTCTTTTCCGATGCTAATATATTCTAGGTTCTTACACCAGAGCAAAGACTTCAAGCTATTGCTTGTCATTACAATTTCGATCATCCAAGCGCTTTTGATCTTGATTTATTGGAAAATCATTTGCGCAGGTTACGCGACGGTAAAACTATTGAAGTACCTGAATATGATTTTAAAACCCATTCTCGTACTTCTAAAACGGTAAATTGAATTGATGATATTTTCAAGTACAAATGTAATATTTATTTTACCTACAAGTATTTTCCTGTAGTACAGCTAACCCAAAGTGTGCGAATCTATCATTGAAAGAGGTAAAACGTTACATTTAATACCTGTTATTGGTAAAGAACAGGAAATAAACAAATGCACATTGGAAAGGAAATTAAAACATACCGAACAGATATATTTAATGAATAAACTGTATATAATACTTATATTCATGGAAATGTTGCTTGTTGATCGGTATTTGAGTAATAACAAGTCGCGCCAAGTTTAGGCTAATTTAGTGTAGCGGGAGTTTCGGGAAGTGCAATTTGACTAGTTAACTTAATTAGTTACGGATATAACTAAAAATGAATGACGTCATTGATTATACAGCGTTATTTTACACATGTGCCTCTACAACTGACTTCAGGAGACACTTCTGGAGTTCTAATGAGAAGTCGTTACCAGTGGAGTTCAACCAGGTCTGTTGTGAGATAGGAACTCACTGAAGACAATGGTGTACGGTAGCGCAACTTCGTGGATTGGTTGAAGTTAGACATTAACACCGTTGGATGCCGGCTCAGTGGTCTAATGGTTAAGTGCTCGCGCGCGAAGCCAGTAGGTCCTGGGTTCGAGCGCCGGGTGGTGAGGGTTCGTGGATGCGCACTGCTGAGGAGTCCCATACTAGGGCAAAACGGCCGTCCAGTGCTTCCAGGTTTCCAATGGTGGTCTAGCTTCAACTGACTCATGATTTCAATCTGAAAATAAAATTATTGTCGAATGAATGAATTATTAAGAGACAATGAACATGTTTTTGTCTATTGTCATTATTCTAATTGTTTGAGAACTTTTTACCTACCTAAGTACTTCAGACAGCAATGTATTGAAAATGTGAAGCGATGTTTAGACACGGTTAGGGTTTACTGTTTTCTTAGAGAAATGGATACGGTAAGTATATCCGTGGTATTTTAGAATCACCTATTTAAAAGTATTTTACATCACGTTTCTGCTAATTGCGTATTGAAATGTTTGAATTTACGTAAACAAAACTTGCAATACTGATATGCTCATGTCTTCAGTTTTTTCCAATCAGAAGATCTAGTTTGTTGATGATTCAAGGTAAATGTATACAATTGATATGTATGTGTACAAAAATCGATGACAAGTTGATAGCTATACACTGGAAGATCGATTGTAGATTAATTTATAAAGTCAGGAACACTATTTTTCTAACTAATTGTTTTATCTTAATAATATCTTGGTATTGAGTTTTGTTATGACTACGAGAAAACTGCTACTTGCTACTGTATACCTAAAAAAGGACAGATAGCTCTCTGTAAAGAGGAAGGCAAGACCACGCATGATGATTTATTTAAACATCAACCACAAATCCTCTACAGATCCAACCACTTATTCCAAAATCTTCACCAAAATTACAACATTATATATGGTCTATTTAACTGGTGAACAACCAAGTCTGAATGCATCGAACTGGAAGCATGTGGTATTAATTAACCAACAATTTAATGCATATATAAGATTTACAGTATCAACAGAATAACCCATAATTAACAAAGATAAATTACCGACTTACAGTTTTTTTCTTCCTGAAGTCCTACTCACTGCTTTCTCTCAGCGGTGTTGTTTACGAAAATGAGGGGACGAAAATTGAATGTCCAGCGCTTTAACCGGATTGGTGGATACGGAGGATCCACCTAGGGGAGTTGGAAAACCTTGATTCAAAAGCAATGGTGAGCATGAGTTCCGGAATCCTGAGGAGATAAATGGCATATCAATCTATTGTTAACCACCAGCTACCATGAGACTGCATCTCCTTACGTTGCTCCGCTGCTTTTTGGATTAAAATTTAGGGTGTGGCTCCCTAAGAAAACCACCTGTTTCGATCTGGGCACCTAAGCAGTATTCCAGCTCACACACAAATCAAATGATAATTACTAATGGAAAAATTACTTTTGCCTTAACTCTCATTCAGACAATTTATTTATTTATTTATTTTAACACATAGATATTGGTACAAGGAGGCACCAAATACATATGCGCCACACAAATCTCATTCGATGTGTGAAGGCTGTGATACTGCCCGGGTGCCCAAACCGAAGCAGGTGGTTTTCTTAGAGGGCCACACCCCGAGCCTTCGACCTGAAGGTCTGATCCACAAGGCAGTGGAGCATCGTAAGGAGATGCAGTCCCATGGTAGCCGGTGACCGAAAATTGGTTCATACGCCATTTGTTCCCGCAGGATACTGGAGCTCATATGCACCACTGGTTTGGGATCCGGTTAAAGCGCCGGACATTCGCTTTTCGTCCTCTCATTTTTGTAAATAACACCCCGGCCAAGAGAAGGTAGTGAGTAGGACTTCCCTGGCAGAGGCTATATACGCGTGGCCATGTGAGAGCATTTTGTCATTCAGGCAAATCATATTCACAATCATTTAATTACATTCATTTTCATTTTTATACTACGTCGCTTATCTACTCCCTTTATTATCATTTAGTGTATTCTTATTTTTCAACTTATACAACAGCTGGCCTATGGTAAAAACCCTGTCCTATCTAAACGATCTCGAGCCATTGACTAGTCGAATGTTGAATGCTACCACCGACTACAGATACTGGACCAGTTTTTCTGAAACTACGTGCACCATTCCAACTGGCATTCTTCAACGTTCACGCACTAATGCAGGTCAGAAAACAGATAGGGTTGGTTATGTCTTTAGGAAGTCTTAATCTCGATGTTCGTTGTCTATTCGAGACTTTGGTGAAGTACTACAAATTCGCTCTCTATCTGTCGCTTCAAAAGGCTTGTTTTACGTGCGCTTATCCGAGGGCCCTGTGGCATTTTCGTCTGGTCTTGCTGGCGTTGGTGTAGCACTAAGCACTAGAGCTGAGGCAACACTAATCGACTGGATCCTCACTAACGCGTATATAGCCTCTGCCAGGGAAGTCCAACTCACTGTCTCCTCGTGGCCGGGGTGTTGTTTACGAAAATAAGAGGACGAAAAGCGAATGTCGGGCACTTTAACCGGATCCCAAACCAGTGGTGCATATGAGCTCCAGTATCCTGCGGGAACAAATGGCGTATGAACCAATCGTTGGTCACCAGCTTCCACGGGACTGCATCTCTACGATGCTCCACTGCCCTATGGATCAGACCTTCAGGTCGAAGGCTCGGGGTGTGGCCCTCTAAGAAAACCACCTGCTTCGGTTTGGGCACCCGGGCAGTATCACAACCCTCACACATATCGAATGAGATTTGTGTAGCGCATATGTATTTGGTGCCTCCTTGTACCAATATCTATGTGTTAAAACAAAAAAATCACTAACAGTTGGCTATATACTGTTAGATTAGAAAGTTCCATGAAAGTGAGAAGAAATCGGCGTGAGAAACGATGTCTTTTCGTCATCTCCGCCTATACCTCGACAGATTGCAGCCCGAATGCGATCAAGGATGAATTCTACCACCAGTTAACTGTTCTTCTCCAGAAGGTGCGTTCGACAGATATTGTAGTACTAGTCGGAGACTTGAATGCTCAGGGCGGACGTCTAGGCACAGAAGAGAGTCGTTTAGGTGGTCGTTGGGGACTCGTTGGTCGCAGGACAGATAACGGAGACCGTCTACTGAGACTGTGCACAGACCACAACCTGTTTCTGGCTATCACTAACTTTCAGCACAGTCATCGCCGATGTGCCACCTGGCGTCCTCCCTCTTCATCTCAAGACTGGACTCAGATTGATCACATTGCGATTAGCTACCGCTGGTGTGGTTGTGTACAAGATTGCCGCTCCTTTTGGAGTACCTATCTGGACTCTGATCATGCCCTGGTCTGCGCCAATCTTACCTTACTTTTCAGTGGCCAACGAGGTGATCTTCACCAAAGGATTGATGCCAGCAAGTTGGTTGCAACTTCTGTTGTAACTAAGTATCGAATCGAGCTAGCTTCTAGGCTAGCTACCATTCCACCGAAAAGTATGGATGAGCATTGGTTGCAACTGTATGACGCCATGAAAATGGCGGGTAAAGCTGCTTGCGGCTTCGTGAAACGTCCTGCTTATAAGCACTGGGTTTCTTCATGCTCCTTACAACTCATCGAAGCTCATCGGTCTACTCCGGGTAACCGTGAGTTTGACCACAAACGAAGGATATTACGTAATGAAATCGGGCAAAGCTTGCGTAAGGACCGAGAAGCCTGGTGGTCGGAGCGTGCTAACGAGTTGGAAGCAGTAGCTGCGTCTGGTAATTACCGGAAGCTCTTCCAACTCATCCGAGTCACTGGCAGTAAGAAGTCTGATGTGAGTGAAACAATCTGTTAGGATGACGGGATTCCGGTCAGTAACATCTCCCTAGGTCTTGGACTATGAGCAACGTGTGTTCGGCCACAGCGACGATAGTTCAGTTAGTGTCGCTATCTTGAGACATCAACTTTGGTGACTTAAAGATGTCTTACGAATGTCGTTTGAAAGAATTCCACGTCGTGCATTATTTGCCGATGCTTGGAAGGATTGGAAAAAGTGGAGATTTGGTCAGTGTATGACATGGTATCGTAGTATGAAAGAAAGCTGTACAGGACGGACCAAGATGGTGCAACACAGTGATTAGGGACGTGGCTTAGAATCAAAGACAGTGGCTATTCTACCATAATTTTTTCTACTTTCTTCATAAAAATGAACGTAACTTCTTTAACTGAAAGAATTCTTTGTGGCTATATTTCTACTAACTGAACTATTTCTCTTATTATTATTATTGTTATTATTATTTCACTCTCATACATTAATTTCTATTCTTTGTTCTCTTTTATTGTAAACACTTCACATTCTCTCTCTTCACATCCTCGTTGTTGTTGTGTGGCGCATATGTATTTGATGCCCTCTTGTATCGATGTTGATGCATTCAAACAATCATAATAATTCTTATTCCTGATACTGATGTTTATCGCTCTCACAAACTGAAGAAGTTTACCCCCCCCCTCAGTCCTTACTCAAAAAGTTTTGCTTCAAGCCAAATCCAGAAATTTGACATATGTACTCGTTAGATTACATCATGCCGCATTTATAACACAAATTCTTTTTCTACTTGAAGCTCTTTATCTTTCAATTCCAATACTTTTGGTAATGTAGTTTATTGATAAGTAAAATAGTTGAGACTTATGTAGCATTAATAAAGGTAATGGTCGTTTTTCAATATCTTTCATGTTGTAGATCTGGTAAGCGGGATTCTTTCGTTTGTTGCACTTAAGGTGAACCCAATTTAAAGTATAATGAATGTAGCATTTTTTAAAATTCGACACACTTAAACACAAGTAAACACTAGTATTCTAGCAAATAGTTTACAGAATAATTCTGAAATGATCAAATTTTATCATCATATGGTAACTGACGTACATTTTGCTTTTAAATTCCAATATTATTCTATCTTTGTGTTCAATAGAATACTGTCTACGGAGCTAATATTATTATCATTGAAGGAATTTTGGTATTCTATTCGCAAGCTGTGGCCAAAGTAAATTCAATCTATTTTCCAAGTTGATCTTGGTTGGTTCTTTTGCGCCTAAATTAACACCTATTCTTTTTTTTGATACTTATAATACTATTTTGTCCTCAGATCTTGTATGGAATTATAAGATATGATCATTTAGTGCTCCTAACAGCACAAAAATGTACTTTTACATCTTTTCATTCTGATTATATTTGGCTTCATCTTACCTTCCCTATCGCCCCCAAACGCCCTGGTACGGCAGAGGGTGGTTAGAGCCAGCTCCCCCTCTCAAAATGCTCTCAAGTGGCCACATGCATACAACCACTGCCAACGAAGTCCTACTCACTGCCTTCTCGTGGCGGAGGCGTTCTTTACAAAACTGAGAGGACGAAGAGCGGAAGTCCGGCGCTTTAACCGAATTGGTGGATACGGAGGATCCACCTAGGGGAGTTGGAAAACCCTGGTTCAAAACCAATGGTGTACATGGGCTCCAGGACCCTAAAGGAAACAAATGGCATATGAACCTATTGTTTGTCGCCGGCTACCATGAGACTGCATCTCCTGACGTTGCTCCACTGCTTTGTGGATCAGACCTTCAGGTCGAGGGCTCGGGGTGTGGCCCCCTAAGAAAACCACCTTCCTCGGCTTGGGGACCCGGGCATTATCCCAGCCCTCACACAGATCGAATGATTTATGTGGCGTATATCTTTTTGGTGCCTTCTTGTACCAATGTTTATGTGTTTAAATAAATAAATAATTAATTAAATAAAATACCTTCCCTATCGGAGCTAATGGATGGAGCTTGTTTCTTTTAACAAACTGAGTTATACTGATTGTAAAACTTATTTTTTAGGTCCTAAGGTATCAGAATAGTCGGTTGAGTAGTGGTAAGACTAGGTTGTGAATTCCAAATCCTTGCGGTAGTAGGGTGCTCCGCACGGGCACAGGCAAGGGGGATAGACAATTTTTCATACAAATGGCACCCACCTTTAGTTCTGTCGTTTCGAGTTAATTAGTACTGTTAAGTATTTAAGTCGAATGTTTACATGATCCATTTAACTTAATAGGTCTTTTTCCTGGTATTTTTTCTACATCTCACTAGCTAATGGATTTGAAGGTATTTGTTGATACAGACGCAGATGAACGCTTATCTCGTCGTCTTCGTCGTGATATTAGTGAACGTGGTAGAGAATTGAATAGCGTACTAGAACAATATATGCGTTTTGTCAAACCTTCCTATGAACAATTTATTGCTCCAAGTATGGCTCAAGCAGATATTATTGTTCCAAGAGGTAAGTATTTTTCTGGATTTTACATTTTTGGTAAGGGATATCCTAGCCATTCATTTTTCAGTTTGAATTCGATAAAATGACTGTCAGTTTTATTTTTCAAGTATCCGTCATTATGTTCATCAAAATTGTTTATGTATTTATCTTCACAAAACTGAAATCATAGTTGAAAATTAATGCTAAAGCATTTCAAGTGAATCACTTTTATTCATTACATATCATTTTTTCTAAATATAGGTGGACAAAATGTTGTCGCTCTGCAACTTATCGTTCAACACATCAATAAACGTTTAAAACAGGTAATTTCTATTATTGGAAAACATGCATATTTCTCATTTATGGTTGATGTTTTCTATTTTTGACACAGTAATGTTTCATCATATAGCAGTAATACGTAGATTCACGCTGTTGGGATAAGTTGAACGAAAAGAACAGTGAGTAGAATAATTTGAGCAAAACCATTCTACTGTCGAAAAGGGTGCTCAGTTACGTTAGTGGCTCTTAGTCGTGCATCATCATCTGTCTTTATTATCACATGAGTTTCATTTTGGATTTATAGAAAAGTTCCGGTAAAGACTTATGCTATCTAAAAAGAACAGGTTCTTAACTTGTACTGGAATTCGCGTGTTCAATGCGTTGTTATGGGAGCAGTTGTAATATATAGCTCAATTGCCGACTAGTTGATCTATATTCTTTACACGACCGGCGACCTATTTACTAAATGACAGTGACTAACGAACAACAACCAAGACCCTAACACCTATTGGTCTCGAGATCCTTCCAATCCAGTATCCAATCAGAAAACGAGGATAGGGGGCAGACAAATTATCTTTTGTACTCTATTCAGTCATTACTCAAAATTCATCAAGTAATATATCTGAAATACCTAAGCATTACTTGCTTACGCCTGTCACTCTCCATGGAGGAGCATAGGCCGCCCACCAGCATTCTCTATCGAACACTGTTCTGAGCAACCCTTTCCAGTTGTTTCTAGTTGCTATTCATCCTTTTAATGTCTGCTTCAGATTCCCGGCACAGTGTGTTCTTTGGCCTTCCTTTTCTCTTCAGGATTCCAGGTTGGGGCTTGCCTCATGGTGCAGTTTGGTGGTTTCCGCAACGTATATCCTATCCACCTCAGACTTCTTTTCCTAATTTCCTCCTCAGTTGGAACCTGGTTTGTTATTTCCCACAGTAGGCTGTTGCTGGTCGTATCTGGCCGACGGATACTGAATATCTTGCGTAAACAACTGTTTATAAATACTTGTATCTTTTTGATGATTGTTGTAGTAGCTCTCCACGTTTCAGCCCCGTACAGTAGAACTGTCTTGATGCTCATATTGAAGAGTGTGACTTTGATATTTGTTGACCGTTGTTTTGAGTTCCGTATGCTCTTCAACTGTTGGAATGTCGTCTTTGCTCTGGCGATCCTCACCCTTACATCTGCATCCGATACTCCACGTTCATCGATGATGCTACCCAGATACGTGAGTTTTCACAATTTCCAGAGCTTACCCACTAAGAGTGACTGGGTTAGTGTTCTTTTGTGTTGTATTTGAGGATCTTGCTTTTTCCCTTGTGTACGTTGAGGCCTACTGATGCAGAGACTGCCGCTGCACTAGCTGTCTTTACATGTATTTGCTCGTGTTATGGGATAGAAGGGCCAGGTCATCTGCGAAGTCGAAATCATCTAGCCACATACAGCCTATCAATTGTATTCCGTGCTTCCCCTCAGATGTTGAGGTCTTCATAATCCAGTCAGCCATCGGAAGAAAGATAAAACACGAGAGTAAGCGGCCTTGTCTGACTCCGGTCCTCACATGGGATGCGTCTGTCAGCTGTCCTCCATGCACAACTTTGCACTGTAGTCCATCGTATGAATTCCGGATGGTAACTACGATCTTATCAGGTACTCTATAGTGTCGAGGAAGTTCCCATAATGTTCTCCTATCCACACTGTCAAATACTTTCTCATAATCAAGAAAGTTGATGTATAGTGACGAGTTCTATTCAAGTGATTGTTCAACGATGATCCGTAATGTAGCGATTTGGTTTGTGTACGATCGGTCCTTACGGAGTCCAGCCTGTTGATTCTGAAGTGGAGTGTCCACTGAATCTTCCATTTGGTCCAACAACACAGTTAAAAGGTTTTCTTTGTGCTGATAGTAGTGTAATGCCTCTTATGTTCTCACATTTGCTCAGATCTCCTTCCTTTGGTATATTGATGAGGTAGCTTCTTTCCAGTCAGTCGACACTTGTTCTTCCTCCCAAATCTTTTAAATAGAACGTTGAGCATGTTTACAGTTACCTCTGTCTGACTTCAGTGCTTCGGCTGGCGTATTGTCTGGTCTTGCCACTCTCCCAATTTTCAGCTGACGGCCACGCGGGTCTCATCGATTCTTGATGTCGCGTGCCGTTTTTATGTCCGGCAGATGCAGTGTAGCTGGTCCATTCAAGAGTTCTTCAAAGTGCTCTACCTACTTGCTCCTTTATTCTTGAATCTTAGTGACTGGTTTGCTTCCTTTTTTCTTGGCTGGTCATTCTGGTTTCCGATACCTTCTTAGCAGTTTCTTCATTGTATTATATAGTTGTCCTAGATTTCCTTCTCTTGCAGCTCTTTCCACTATCGCTGCTAGATCTTCTACAAATCTCTGCTTGTCAGCTCTAATACTCCTATTCACTTGCTTGTTTGCTTCAGTGTATTTGGTATGTGCCTTGACTTTTTCTGTTCTTGTTCGACTGTTGTTAATTGCTGTCTCCTCGTCCACCCTTTCTTGAATCCTGTCCAGAGTTGCAATGGAGATCCATTCATTATGATGATGCTTGTTACGTGCCAGAACCTCCAGACACGTTGAAGTTAGTGCTTCTTTGATCCCTTTCTAGTTATCCTTTACAGTAGTTTATTCTTTGAGATCTTTTAGGACTTGGAACCTGTTGACAGTCATCTTGAATTCGTTGAGTTTGTCACTATCTCAAAGAAAGGCTGTGTTTAACTTTTGTAATGCTGCTTCTCCAATTTGCCAGTGTTTCTTTAGCTTCACTTTGATACACGCCATTATCAGGTGGTAGTTTGAAACTATGTCAGCTCCTTTCTTTGTTCTCGCGTCTTCCATTGTCCTTCCAAATCTTTTGTTGAAGAAATTTCGATCAATCTGGTTCTCTAAAGTGTTCCCCAATGAGACCCACCTGACTTTGTTTATACATTTGTGGGGGAATATTGAGCTACTGATAACTTTTTCTGAAGACATACAGATTTGCAAATTTCTCATCATTCTCGTTCCTTTCTCCTAGTCCATGTCGTCCCACGATATCTTCATATCCGGTGTTGTTCATTCCGACTTTGGCGTTTAGGTCTGCCATCAGGACGTTCACGACCTTTTCTGGACATTTCGCTATGATCGATTACAGTCCCGAGTAGAACTGATCTTTATCGTCTTCGTTGCTATCATTGATTGGTACATAACACTGGATAATATTCACTGTAATTCCATCCTTCCTTGTTTTGAATGATGCTTTGATAATCCCGGGTCTATGAGATTCCCATCGTACAAGTGCTTTACGTGCTTATTTAGACAGCATCACAGAAACTCCGCCTTTAGCTCTTCTAGGGTTACTTCTGGTCTTAAGCTCAGTTAAAAAAGGAGAGTTGTGCATGGGGTCAGCAACCCCATCCCGTAGAGAACAACCTTGTTAAAAGACACCAACCAAAATAACCTAACCATACAACAACAAAAATAGGAAATTACAAGGTATAAAAAACCCAGTTATAAGTTTTACAAGATGGGAGTAATTGGGAGTTAATTAGTTTATGAATGACCAATCTGAAACTCAGACAAAAGGTAGTTCATGAATTAAAAAGTTAACGAATGGGAGTTTATTATTAAATATCATAATCCAAGCAAGTGTCTGATAATCATACAGTGAAAATATAAACAATAATTTCCTGTACAATTCAACTTCTCATTGTCTCTTCGATATTTTAACAAAAACAGATGATTTTTTTAGATTTGTAAAAGTCGAAAAATATGATTCAGCGGTCTTATGAATAGTTGATAATATCATGACTTCACTTGTCTTTTAGCGACTCCTGTTTACTTAGTTTTAGGTTCGCGTAAAATATATCTTAGGCGTTTTACTGTCGTAACTCTTGACTGAAGCTGTGTAGTCTAAAGTAATCCAGTATTCTAAAACGTTTCCACTTATTCAAATTGTTATTTTACTAAACAAAAAAACGTAACAATCTTCAAGATTTAAGAAACAAAAGATGAATTTATTTGCAACATTGTAGTCAATTTGAGGCATATTCTTCGGAGACAAGTATATCGATACAATTAATTGGGGATGGTTTGCACTGAACAGATTAAAGACGTGTTATTATCCCCTGCCAGTACCTAGTTGTTGTACCGAATCGAAGCAATATAAGAAAATTACCACCTGACTTATGACTACGAACAATTATTGTCTAACACAAACACAACTGTTCATATGTACTTAGGATTTTAATTGTCGAAAAGTTAATCTATTTATGCTGATTCGTCCAACAAAATAATAACTTTATCGGTAGGATCTGGAACATATACCCAAGCTTAGCTAGTGCCGTAACGTGGTTGTCTGACTTGCATATTTTGATGACTGAATCTGGCTATATTGGCTGAAACATACGTTCATTTAACTTCTACTGGAGTGTATGCTGCTCATGTCAACATAAGTAGTATATAACACCAGTCAGAAGTGAAATGCCTGGCATCAGAAGGTTGGGAAGATCGAATCGAAGAGAACGGGAACAAAGAGTCATTGTTATGGCAATGAAGGAACGATGAAGTTTGAAACAATTGATGGAGGATTTGCAAATGAAGTATTGAACGTATGGTTTTCACATTTGACCAAAGAACTCTGTAATTTTGTGTTTAAATACATTTGGTTGTCCCCACCTATATTGTCGTTTACAATACCACCATGCCAGCCAAGTCTTTTGGAGGACGGTAAGAATAAAAGCAGCAACTTAGGGCCCGAAGTTGTACTGCTGAGTGTAGAGGAGTAGGAAAGTAGTAAGGTGTTTCCTTCGGACGACCGGCATTTACAGTGATGCTGTCTTCTCATAACGGAAGGAAGGCGTTTGAAAAGGTTGATCCTAGAAATGTCACACCTGACCTTACCCACACAGATTTCTGTCTCCGGAGGTAAGGCTTTTTGAAGTGCGAAGTTTATACATCGAAAAATTCCCATAAAAAGGTCGTGCGCGACTCGCCTCAAGCAGTTGTCCATTGGTCTTTGCGGTCACGCTTCTAGATCTCCAAGACCACCACCAATTCAGCTTGTTTTCCAGTTCCCTCAAGAAGAAATATCCTTCCACAGTGTAAACAACTGGGAAGTAACAGTCGTCCTCTTATCTGTGTTGGCACCCGAGATTATCTTCTTGGCGATTAAATCCCTTCATCACCTTAATAATTATCATATCTGTGCGACTAACCTTTCTGGTACATATTTATCACCACGCGGTACTAATGCTAATAATTTGAGTTCACGGAAAATTATTCCTGTTTTCCTGAGACCACTCTCTAAACTACATGTTAAAACCTTGTGTCAAATAGAACAACAGGCTCCTTTGCTAGGGCTCTAGAATCTCACGCTATAAATGCGTTGATGATAAGTCTTCTTATTGAAAGCTAGAATCGGTTTCCTAAACTCTCTAGTAACCCCTGGGCTAAATCTACACAGCAACTCGAATACGACAGAAAAGGCGCGAAATATTAAAGAAAACGCTGTACTCTAGTGGATCGTTCATGTACAGAAAATTTAGGGTATTTATAGCATTTTGGATGACCTTGCGCTTCCGGAAAATTCTCGAACGCTACTAAATATAGTAGCAGTATAGGTAACCACCCAATCAGAAACGCGACATGTGACTTTTGACTTCCTTATTATTTCTGGCAAAATTTCTATTGAATACTGATCGAACAGGATGTTTATCAGCGTTTTAGAGCCTTTTTGGCTTTTTTTGAGGAATTTTCTGGATCTTCCCAACATCTTTTTCTCCGAAACGTGCTTACAGGATGTGAGTGCGGTCATTTATTTGACCTCACCTTGTCAATATAAAGAACCGGCACGACTTACCCTTCGAGCTTTTAAAGACCTTATTACAACGTCCTGTGGCCTCGGTGGTCTATGTACAGCATTAATTTTTAAAGCAGAACAGGTTCTGTTAGACCTTGATTCCAATATATAGTCGCTTGTGCACTGTCCGACTGAACGGGACAATCAGAATTCAAAAAGGTAGGGGCACACTGCGTTATCTCTGCCTATGCTCTCACTGATTGCAATTTGAATGAAGTTAAAGATGGATTTTATGGGGAGCTATTCAACCTTCTTCAAAAAGCTAAACGCTCTGACTCAGTAATATTGGCAGGTGATTTTACTGTTCAAGTATGTAGACTAAACCAAATCGAAAGGCACTTAAACAAATATTGTGATATTGCTGCTCAACGAGCAGAATGGCGGCCGTCTGAAAAAATTGATATGGCAACTTGAACCGATGTACACACGTACAACGTTCTACGCTGTGAATAAATTGCTGATTGACTGAGACCATATATCATTATGAATTACACAAAATTTCACTTCACCTGTCACCCTGTAATATTGATATTTTATTAGGCCAATTTCTATAAATTTATGTCAGTTGCTTAATAAGATTGAATTATCTATTTATATAGATAAGCACCAGTGTCTGATAGTGTAAATATATAGTACTTTGTGCTTTATTCTGATGATTTTTTGTTATTTTCTTTTGGAATTTCAAATGAATCTCATTAATTATTAGCTATCTCTTAATTTCAACTCAAATATTCATCTCAATTCTTGTTTACCATGTTTAAGTGAAACGTTTAATATTTCTTTGTTTCTCATTGACTCTAATCGTTAAATCAGTCGACCTTTAATTCTGTTGTGACTTTATGTCTGACTTTTTATCCCATGATTTATCCACCAATCAAAATACGACTTATACAATCTTAGCACTGTGCCAAACCAATGACGTCCGACCGGCATGAGCAGCCCAGCGTCCTTATTGGTCCTATGTTCACCTAGCCCATCCAATTGAGTCCAGAACACCAATACCAGCTCCCACTATGCGAATCATATATTTCAAACATACTGCGTTTATATTATCAAACAAACAGACCTCAACGCACCATAAAATAGGAAATAACATTTGCACACAATAAAGCCAAAAAAGTGGCTGTGAACGTGGGAGGCAGTAGTTAATAAACTGAGCATAATTTAGGGACAGTAAATCGTATAATAAATTATAGGTCAAAATGAAGCTTATAATAAGAGGAATATAAATATACATAATCTAATTATTGAATAGTTATACCATAAGAATGTATCGATAGTATTAGTCAATTAATACGTCTCAGAAGTTACTCGTTATTTAATCTTCGCTCGGATATAACAAATTACAGGGTCACATGTTCGATTTATTTTGCTTTGTTCTGTTTGGTAATATTATTAACCTTCACATCAGATATGTGATTCAAAGCCATGAGTACGTAAATTTGCACTTAATAAATGAGTGCAGCATTAACTCTATGTAGTTTGTATTATTAATTTGGTATTGCTTATCTTTCATATCAAGTGTGGACTACGAAGCAGACATGAATTCGCTAAATTCCCGTTCATACTTTCTAATGGCACATTACCAACAGATTCCAATGATACAACTTGGGAGAACAATAATTCAACTGGTGTAAATAATACAGTAGATGATGTTTTTACAATGAACAACCATCTGTATCATAACAAGCAATATACTACTAATGGTACATCTGATAAAGTATGTCTCCCACCTCAAGTTCATGTATTACCTTCCACACCTCAAAGACTTGGTCTGCATACATTAATTCGTGATCGGAGCACCAATCAAGATGCATTTGTTTTCTATGCCGAACGTTTGATGCGTCCTTTATGTGAAGCTGCAATGAATCTACTTCCGCATATGGTAAGTAATGCTCATAGATAAATAAAATGTCTTAATTTCGAATAAAGTTTTACAGCTATATTTGGATATCCATACGATTTGTTAAGTAGGCACTTTTGAGCTGATATTTGGTTTGCTCATTCCTAGAGACCAGATATTTTTAATCATAAAATTGTGATCAGTGTTTGATGGCTACTGGAATCAATAATTATCGATTACTTTTATGTTGGATGTTTTTATTCCCATATATTCAGTCATAATGAACAGTGTTCAAAGTTCCATGAAAGCATAAACCTTTGACGAAAACTGCTTCTGATCAGCGTAAATGAAAGTATGGGAATTCTTTCGTGGATATCATGCTTTCCAATTTTGGAATGCTGGTTCGCATCGTTATCAATCCGAATGATAGAAAGCTAACTGTTGTAGCACGTTTCACACTTTAGTTAATTTCTAAGATTCATCATGGCAAGCTGGATTTTTTTTTGCATGGCTTTTTCCTTATCCTATACAACTAATAGCATCGATAAAATATTTGATTGTTTAATAAAGAATGCCTGTATAACTTCATGTGTTCATATCATAACCACTTAGAAGGGTGTATATCATAGATATTTGATCATACGTGTTTTTAAAACATTCCTCGTGTAGAATGAAACCATTAAGGTAGGAGAGCAATGATGATGTTAAGTATAAAATATAGGGTAACGGCGATAATCCAATGAATTTTGTTGTGAACTAGTTTATATTGAGGTAATTGTTACGTTTTACACATCTATATACCTACTGCCTATTTCAGGATACTGTTTTAAGCAACAGTAATCAATAATTGAAGAGTAGATCGTAGAAATATATTCAGCTTTCATTCTTCTTTCAATGTTAAAAACTGTATTATTTTTTGTTTTCAATTCCCCTTTCTCTCCGTATTCTTTAATCTCTTTATGGAGTCAATATTTTTTAGATTTCCTCATTTTAACCTTTCCTTTCTCATATAATATGGAGAGTATCAAATTAGATCGGCGTGCATTTGTAATTACGTCTCCACCGTATTTTGTGCATCATCAAAGTGCCTAATTGATGACTTGTATTCTTATGATACTGATAGTGTATTTGTTGTCTCATGAAATTGAAATTGAATATTATACTGTTGTGTCGTCATCATTCACGAAAGAAGTTAGTAATCCCTATTATTTGGAATTATATTTATGAGAAATCGATGGATTAGAAAATAAATTCAAAAGACCTCACAAGCATTATCTAAAGAATTATTCAAAAACAAAGTTCACTGAATAACAGTATTCTTTTGTACACCACTTGCTTTATATAGAACGATATCCTGAGATCTTGGAGTTTTCTAGTAAGCAGTTTGCTATTCACCTGCTGAATTATATTCCTCCAGTTCACTCGTCTAAATAATCTCATTTTCAAGTCATATGTATATTACGAAATTTATTTACTTTTTTCCACAAGGATATAGATATCGAGACTCCTCAGGGTATCACCTATCGTGGTCGGAAATTAGCCACTGGCACTCAAATATGTGGTGTATCTATTCTAAGAGCAGGTGAAGTACTTGAACCGGCTTTATGCGCTGTGTGTAAAGATATCCGTTTGGGCAAAATTTTGATACAAACCAATCCAGTCACATCTGAACCTGAATTACACTACATTCGTTTACCTCGAGACATTAAAGTTAGTGCTTCCTTCTTTCTTGTTTGTGCATTAAAATATAATTATCTTAATTTCAGTTATGTAAGATGCAGTTCACTATTTTTTCGTTCTTTTTTAAAATATTTAATAATAATAATAATAATAATAATAATAATAATAACTGCTCAATAGAGTGGACAATTAACTAATTGATTGTGAAGGTATCTTGTGGCTGTTTTTAAATATTTCACACTAACCTGTCATATAAAGATTTCGAGTACCTCGATGATAATTTTATCATGTATTGTTGAAGAATTATCCTCATATTAACAAGAAACAGAACCGTCTGGTCTTTTGTTGGCTACTGTTGGTTCTTCAGCTTATTTTAGTCTGTCATTAAAACTGCATCACTTCAAATAATTTTATATATTTTAAGATTTTATTCAAATGGTCTCTCTCAAACGCAAAATGTAGTTCTTATAGAGTATTATTTTACATAGGAATATATTTTTTTAATATTGGTAAACTGAGTTTAAGCCTACTTTTGCGGAAGTGACTGTGGTCTTTCCATGCCAGAAGCAGTCAAGTCTTCTGTCACAAAATTAAGGGACAAAAACAAGTTTCATGGTCTGCTAGTGTTGTGTTTGTAAATAAGATATATACTATAGATACATTTATAACTCACTTGCATATAAACCTCTTATATAATTATTGCTGAATATTTACAGTGATATGAATCAATATTATTCCTTAGAGTTTATAATCGGACTTGCCTGTGATTAATTCATAGTGTTCCAATACTAATTCCATAAACATTTTCAGAATTCACAGTAGTTTGGCAAAATGGCTAAGTGATTATAGCAATTATGTTCCGACCATTAAATTGTGATTTTCAACCAAATTCATTCAATTCGGTCTAACTTTTATTCGTAAAGATAATTCTTTCATTATCTAACGAAAAAAGCTTGTGTATGAAAAAAATGTTCAAGCTAATTATTGATCGTCATCGTCTATTTATTCAAAGGAAAAACAACAACATTGTCTACAAACTAAAACATTTTGTATTGATAAATACCAGTCAAGTAAATGAAATAACCCTGTGCTTTCATCTAGAATTTATTTTAGTTATAAATATAATGACCTGTATACGTGTGTGTATAGAATGCTGAAAGTGAAAATCATCTAAATGTGTGTATTATTTTTTGTCTTCATTCAATTTCTTATAAATTGAATTGGCATATGTGCATTACAAAATTAATCTCATTCTTGTCATTCACCTCATACTCAGTAAAATTCACCAGTGAATTCGCGGTTCATTGTTCCTTTTTTGTAGTATTCATCTAAATCTGCTCTTTTTTTATAAAGGATTGTTTTGTTATACTCATGGATGCCACTGTGGCTACTGGAGCGGCTGCTATAATGGCTATGCGTATATTAGTGGAACATGATGTACCAGAAGATAAAATTATTCTTATCTCTTTAATAATGGCTAGTCAAGGTGTACATTCTGTTGCTTACACATATCCAAAGGTTAATTGTTATTTCTTTATATTGTACATATTTACTAAATATTTATCAAAATTTATATAGGCATCATAACATTTCATACTCAATTAATAGGGCTTGATTTCATTCAGCTTAACATCATTTACTACTGTTGTGTGGGTCTTAACTGTTAAGCTATTAATTTATTGGATATCAGTCTACAGTTATTTATTTATAAATAGAAGCACAAATTTTACATTAAACTTCAAGTCACACGTTTTGTATGGCGAGGAAAATTGATAGTGACACTTATGTTTTAACTGATAGAAGTGATACCTGGTTCAACTTGACACTATCTTACCGTTTCATTAGCTTCCTCTGCGAGAATGATTGTTCTCACGTTGTAGTTCCAAATTTACGAGTATTTGCATCAAAACGGTTACAAAGCTAGTAATAGTCAAATTTTGTTGAAAATGAGCTCCAAACAATCCTTACTAAAATTCATATTTACATTTCACTGTTATTTAAGGTAGCATTATTGGTGTTTTTAATGTAATATATATGTAGCATATTGATACTCATTATTCAACAACAAACCCGTTGAACATGAAATTGTTTTTGTCAGATTGTCACGTATACCATCTATATACTAATTTACACAATGTATTTCAATAGTTTTGTCTTTAAAAATTTGTCTACGAATTCAAATCAAGTCTTGTTTCGGATAATTAAAATAACTCATTATGTCATTGACTAAAAATAAAGAGAATTCACTGAAGGAAGTTTGATTTTCGACGTAATCACTTGGTTGTATATATTCGTGTTTATAATTGTATGGTAAATATATGTGTATAGAAGGGTGTAAAAGATTGAGTCATAAAGTTATTCGATAGTCTAAATATCAAATGAGGTTACGCAACAATCAGGGGGCTAATTGAAAATTACTTATTTACACCTGTTGCCCCTCGTGGAGGAGCATAGGCCGGGTAAAAAAGAATAGAAGGATGGAAATAGTTTACGGGTCAGAATTATGAAAGATAATTGTCCGCTTGACAGGTGTGAAGAAAAACGAAAAACATAAAGGTCGTAATAATAGTTGAATAATTATCATGAACAATTAGTGATAGATACTAATAACTGATTGCATTTGAAATTACAAAAGAGGTTGGACGTATCGTTTTTGCACACAAAGTTCCGGTTTAAATTGGTGGATCGCCAACGCATATAGCTTATTCTCGCTTCCGGACAAGCCAATTTACTCATTCTTCTTGAGTCACATTTCGACCTTGTTAATTATTACTTATCAACCTTGACTGTTTTTATATGTGCGTATGTGTGTGCACTTCTTATCACACTCATCACATGTCTATAACTTTTTTGTGTGACTATAAATATCGATTAACGCTTGATTAAACTAAGTCGGTTCACACGCTTTCTCTATTGCGAGTAATTTCGCTTCACTCTTTTCTCTTCGCTTCTCCGATCTTTTGTATGGATCAACAATTGTATAAAATATACGTATTCCTAATTCATTCTCGTATTCGACTTACTTAGTTCCGTTGTTCACCAACGTGATTTAAGTCGATGGTAATGTACGAGGATTGGCGACATGTAGTTTTCGATAGCAGGCAATAAAAGATCGAATTGCAGTCATATTACGGGTCACAAAGCGTTTTTATTCGACCTTCCTTCGATCCAGTTCCTTTAATTATGTAGATTAGTTTAAAAGAAGACTCCTTCGGAGCGAATCACTTTATGATGCAGTCTTTTCTATCCTCTATACGTATTATGTAAATACGAATATACAACCTAAGCATATGATTTCCTCAAAAAGAAAGTTCTCTTCAGTGAACTCTCCCTATTTTTATTCAAGTCTTGTTTCATTTGACTCGTTCCAACTAGATTTCATATCGTTAGGATGTTACTCATGACGTTTAATAACTTGTTTCCCAGTGATGTTCTGATGTCATTAAAGTATGTCTAGAGCAGTCGGTTCGAACTGTGGTAACACTACTAGTATTCATATAAAACCTGTGATTTATAGCGTGTGTGTTCCAGCAAACAATAGGTTCGTAAAGTAGCCTCTCTAATCTGAGTAATGTGAATACAGTTGGCTCATATTTCTGCACTGATTAAAAAGCAGATTCGATATGAATAAAATCGTCAAAATCTGTTAGTTTAATGCTGTGTAGTGGTGAGAAAACAACATTAATATCTGGAATCTAGGTTTCATTTTAATTAGCAGTCGTTAGCATGATATATTATCAGTCTTTAGAAATCTCGTGCTTACCGTGTTACCTGAATCTGTGTCATCTAGTGATTCCACCGAAAGACATTACTACCGAATTTTTTGAGGCAATATTGACCCCATGAGGCATATATTTAAATCAAAGCGCCAGTAAGTAGTAGTGTATATGTTGCGTCTATTTTCACAAATCATTCTTCACGTGTCTGTATTTAACGCGGAATAATTCAAGTTTGGAGAATTATTTTCCTTTAGACTACAGTGAAATCTTTAACGACATGAATTATTGGCTGCATTGTAATCTGACGGATAGACTTCAGTCAAATCAATACTGATTCTTACTAGCTGATCAGTTAGTACGTAATATATAATACAAAATTTGTTTTTGTTCTACAAATGCTGGGTTATTAATTTTGTGTGCTTTTTCATTGTCTTGTTTCATTTTATTTATTGTTTCTTTGTTCATATTAGGCTCACATTGTAACTACTGCTGTAGATTCAGGCTTGAATGATAGTTATCACATTGTTCCAGGTGTTGGAAATTTCGGTGATCGCTATTTTGGTACTACTCTGGATCTAGAAACAAGATAATGAATCTAATTGTTTATTTTCTTCATGACATTCTGCAACACTTTTGCCAATTTGAGTGAACTTTCTTTTCGTCGTTTACTTCTTATATAGTCAGGAACCTTTCTAGTTGGTTTTAGTCTGATTTTTAATTAATTCTTTTCTTTAAAGAGTTTTTGTTTTGTTTTTTTCTGACAGATTTTTTCTGGAAATCTACTTTCACTACAACACTAGCTCGATATCCTTGTCTAGTCCGCATCTCTATACTTGTTTCATTCATTGCAATTTCTTATACTCTATTGCATGTAGTTTTGTTGTTCCGTCTGACAAATTGATGTATAGTTAGTGTGTTTTCTTCTTTATGTATATGTGTCAATTTAATTTAATTCACTGATATCTTTTTCATGTATATTTGTACTTTACTGATTATTTTTGTCTTTTTTTGCCATACAGTTGTTTTCTTCCCAATTAACAAGGGAGAAGCAAGTTTATTTTCTTTGTAATATATGTATGTATTACAGAGAATTTACTTTAATAATTTACTAATTATTTATTGTGTACTAAAGGTTTCAATATTTTGTTGTTTAATCTTGATTTTCTTTTACAAATATTTCTGTTATTGTAATACACTGATAATTTCCTACTTTATTCATCCACTTCACTTTTTTTCTTTAAAAAAACCTCTATTTTAGTTTCTACTGTTGCTGTTGACGATGACGATATAGTTAATGTGAAACATCTTTTTCTATATAAAGTGTGTTCAGATGTCATTTTATGTCCTATATGCATATATGAAGCGGTAGCTTGCTTGTTAGAATGCTCGAAATAGTTTGAAGGTCCCAAATCCCTACTCATTGCTTACTTTAGTTTTGGGCTGGCTGCTAGCAATATTAGACACTATACAATCAGTTTCGCTCAGAGGTAAGTGTATAAATCCGTACTTGGTAAAGAAGCTATAATTAGGCGGTGGCATGCATTTATGATGATTTAGATTTGATTGGGTGGGGAACGTATGTATTGGCGTCGTATCAGGTGACTTCAATCAAAAAGCGATAACCATGAAAGAAACACAATCAGCCCCTAAATGTCTTGAGACGACTCTCCGTCTTCAAATAGGTAGTGAGCAGATAGAAGTAGTCAAGAAGTTCGTGTATCTAGGTAGCTGCATGAATGCAGTTGGTGGCGTGAGTGAGCCAGAGCAACTCATGCTAATTCAGCATATCTTTGGCGCCTTTGTGATGTTAGTCTGGCTGTAAAAGGTCGGATCTACAACATGTCTGTAAGAACAGTTTTGGTCTATGCCTATGAAACCTGACCTCTCTGAATTGAGGATGTTAGACCACTTTGTGTTTAGTCGTCGTTGTCACCGAAGGATTGCCGACATTCAGTGGCAACACCATGTTAGTAATGCAGAGGTTCGGTATCGTGTGTTTAGGCACAGCGACGATAATTCAATTGGTATCACTATCTTGAAACATCGACTTCGGTGGCTTAAGTGTGTCTTACGAATGCCTTTTCGGAGAATTCCACGTCATGCATTATTTACCGACGCTGGGAAGGGTTGGAAAAGCAGAGAGGTGGTCAATGTATTTTATGGTATCGTGGTATGGAAGTAAGCTGTACAGAACTGGCATCTGTTGTTCCTTCACGACTCCCTGGTTGGGCTCCTAGAGATGGTGCAACACTGACTAGGGACGTGGCTCAGAATAGAAGCCAGTGGTTATTCCGCTATAATTTTCTTTTACTTCATAAAAGTGAACGCAACTTTAACTGGAAGAATTCTTTTTGGTTACATTTCTGCTAACTGAACTATATCTCCTATTAATATTATTATTATGTTGCTATTATTATTATTATCACTATGATTAGTATTGTCATTACTATTGTTATTATTGGCATTATTATTGTAATATTATTATCGTTACTATTATTATTGTCGTTGTTATTATTATTATTTCACTCTCATACACTAATGTCTATTCTTTGTTCTCCTTATTATAAACGCTTTACATTCTCTCTCTTCCCATCCTCATTTGTTGTTGTGTGGCGCATATGTATTTAGTGCCTTTTTTACAATATTTATGTGTCCAAATAAATAACAAAGAAAATCATTACTCTCAACAATAGGAAGCTCATAGTTATGTTAAAATCTTGTAGTTTACAGTGCGAGTTCACTATAGTTGGTTAATCATTGAAAATCAGAAAGCACTGGACAGTTATATCGTTCTAGTTCGGCGCTCTGTCAGTTTTGAAAGTTAAGTGCTCACTCCAAGGCCTAAGAGTTCCAGATACATACTACTGAGTAGTCCCATAACAGGATGGAATAGACATCCAGTGCTTTTTGGATTTTACTGGTTGTTTAGCTAAAGTTAACCAGTGGTGTAAAGTACGAAATTTCATAAACTCCCTGTTTGAACAAAAATATAAATCTCTTTTTGCCGTATATGTAAACCCAGAAAATCTTTATTTTCGGAAATTGTGGATTTCTGTGTTTTGCCCATAGAATTTCTTGATTTTAAACTGTTTGAGCACTTAAGTAGTCTCCGTCTAATTACAATACTAAAGATATACTAGAATTCTTGTTTCACTGTATCAAGGTTACCAGAGGAATTAGTGGTGTTTTTATTCGGTATTTTCATAAGATGTAAAGGAATACTGAATTCAAGCTAGGCTAATATTATTTAATCGTCTTATGGTTATTGAATATGTATTTACGGCAGAGATATGATTGTAAGTTGCATGTTCTGTGCTGGATGTTTACACTGAGGACGTTTATATGGAAAACTAGAAATACACGATGTCATTCTGATCAGCGAACACTACATCATTAAAACATTCCCATTATATCAAAAATTGACTTATTTGTTAAGAGATGTAATGAAAGTGAGGTGATCGCTTTAGGATTTGGTATTTACTGTGCATATGGCTTTTAATCACTAGGCTTCATACTATTACTCCACCCCATATACTTCGGTTTGAATGAACGGTTGATATCATTAACCCGTGTAAAGTGTATAACTCGAAATTAAGCATATAAATATGCCTGAGCTATATTAACATAATAATAATAATAATAATAATAATAATAATAATAATTGGTTAAAGGCTGTAATAATTTAGTTGTTTGAAAACATGGTCTGTTTAAATCAATGGAATAGATGTCGGAGTACAAAACAACTGACCTGTTGGAATATATACACATATTTCTAATCGGTTTTATCATTATTCGAGACTTTCATGAGAGTCGAGTTTTAAGGACTTTGGTCACAAATGAAATTTCGGTAATGTGGTAAACAAGTCTGCATAATATTTCGTCATCTATGTCATGTTTTTTTCCTTAATCATATTCGATCGTTGAATTATGTAGCTTGGCCACTGGTAAAGCGATTCGACATAATGCCACTTGGTGGCTAGATGATGATTAGTGCGAAAGCAGCGAAATCAATGCTCAGAACTTCTTTGTCAACTATCTTTCATTTCCTAGTATAAACAAAGCAGAGTGGAAATTGTAAGTGGGAAAAAAATATTTTGAATCAGACTTTATATCCAATTTTAAAAAAATCAGAACTTAAATCGTCAGTAATTATAATATTAGTGTACTAGAAATGCGTATAAGATAGATTTCCATGTTAGCGGAAATCAATCGGTATTGAGCGTGTACTTTTCATTCAAAGTCAAATAATCTGCGCAGCTAAGAAAATCTGTAATTGATTGTGGGTTGAGAATTCTTGTTGTTTCGAGCTACCTATATGTCTAATAGTATACAAATTCTTCGTACAAAAAAACCTAACAGACGTTAGGCATCAGTTTGAAAACCACTGAAACTTGAACTTTTGAATAACCCGGATATTACAGGTGATGGAACTGGATAATAGTCAGATTATTATCACAAATCAACTAAACTTGAAATTGTAGAATAACATTTAGATTAATATCAACTTGTGATGAAATAACATCTGTGATATCTGTTGTAATCTCGATATAGTTGGACTTCATCAATCATGGCTTCCTATTAAGACTTCCACGATTCTTTTTGTTTATAATTATGTTGAGATAACATGCTGATTTGACCGATAAAAATAAATAATTTAAAATAAGAATCGGTCATCTCATAGTAGATCACTAACATGCACTCATTTTATAGCCATATAAAGTAACTCTTTTATTTGAAAAAGCTTCACTCCTTATCTGTTTTACAGTCGAGTACAAATAAACATATTCCATAAATAACTTGTTCTATTACTGATTTATAGACAGTTATTTCGGAAACTACTAAAGCTGTGCGATGAAAGGAAAAATACAGTGCGAAGCCATACGATGTTTAGAGTTTTAGAAGTTCTTCATAAATTAGAAGTATTTGGAAATTAAAGACGAGTTGGTCTCCTGATCGATATATCAGCTAGGTAGTCTGTTTGTTCACCGATCAGCTTCTACAATGTTATTTACACTGTCAATTTTATCTGAGCCAATGGAAACCAGCCTAATCCACTATTTAATAAAATTTCATACAGAAAAATGTCTATAAATTCTAGTATTTAATATTTAAACCTTTCAGTACTATGCAGTTATTTATAAGGTTGGATAATTATCACAAAAATATGAATAATCCTTTTGAGAACTGCCAGCAAAAAGTTCTTACATTAAATTTTGCCATGCACTTACCCGACTGTCAAATAATAACATGAATGAATTATTAATATAAACCGTTCTGAAAATATTCCCATATAGTTTATTCCTATGGATGTTTTAGAACAAGTCATACAACTTTAAGCAGTCCGTCAAAATAATCATTAATAAGTGAATTTAGGGTGAACTTGACTATGTGAGGTTGGAATAAATGTCAGAGGCCGAAATGACCGTTAACTACAAACTGTTGTTACTATTTACCTTCGTATACTTCTTTGACATGTGATGGTAAATCTAAAAAATCAAGATTACAGATTATCACATCTATAGTAACAACTGTGGTAAATTGCCTTGTTCACATAAGGATGAATAGTTTAATTGGATAAAAATCGGATTTA